AGATTCGACTGGCATGACGCTTTGCAAATTGGTCTATATTCGCATCATCAGTCATATGTACTCGCACGCGAGTCTTATTTCAGGACATATTCCACTTGCATATTAAGATAGACCATCCTTGAAAGAAAGAGAACAATCGAATGAGAAAAGTACCCGAGAGAATTACTATTGACTTACCAGTAAATAATATTGAATACAATAAAGGCGACCGGAAAGAGAACTGCCGAGACGAGATCAACCTAAAAAAACAAATGATCACTTTTGAATCAACTTGCACTCTAAATTAAACTTACAAATTGCGCACTGTCACGAACAGGTTTAGCAGCTTTGGCGATCGGTGCCGGTTGTGCTGAGACAACTTGTTGTAATGGATTCGCCTGTGTTGATATTGGGCCACTTGAATTTGACATAGCGGAATATTGAACATGGGAACTTGCATTACCACCTGCATTTCTATCAGCACTGCTTGATTTGTGAACGAGTGCTTCCATCGTTTCTGCACTGTCATTTCCGTCCTCTTTTTTATAAAACTGAACTTGAGCAAGACGGTTTCCAATAACCTAAATGATAAATGGCAGATTTCTTAAATCTGTTATACGCGACGATCGAATCAAGAAAACACGAATAAAACAACATATAGTAATTTGTATGAAATCATATGCATTCAAAAGAGAAACGAAAAGAACGAATAAAGTTGTGCATTTAGTGGACGTGAATGATTAAAAGAAAAGAACAATATCTATTTGTGAGCATGTACGAGCGAGTGAGTGAACGGAGATGATAAAGAATCTATATTAATGATTAAATTACTCTCTCAGCAGCAAAGGTCGAGCCATTTTGAAGTTTTTGTATTAAAGTTAATTTCGGCGGCCTATCCGTACCTTTTCTCTATAAAATATAAAGATGTTCAGTACCTTGCATCCACATCGACGATAATCGTCACGCGATTCAAATCCAGATGTCTCTCTCTCTGTTCTGTGCCACTCGGATAGAAAAGAGAAGAGAACCACTTACTTCTTTGGAAAATCGAACTTGTTGCCTCAGTTCACCTTTGCGGGCAATAACGTTGACTAAGGCGTATTCGAGCAGACCGGCAAAGACGAAAACAAGACAGGCTGACATCCATACATCAATTGCTTTAATATAGGAGACACGCGGCAGTTGAGACCGAATACCTAATGATAGATAGACATAGATTAACATTGGTATATAAGGTTACACTCATTGTACTGTATAGTTTTTTTTAAAACTAATAAAACGAACAGCAAAAGCCGGAATGAAGCAAAGGGTATAAGAGCACATCACCTTCGCCTTACCTGAGCTTTGAGTGGTAACTGTTAGAACAGTCAAAAGTCCGACAGAGATCCGAGCGGGAACCTGCGTATGAGATCGAGAGATAAGGAGATTATAAAGAATTATTACTGTCTGCTCATCGGGCTTACCGATTTATGATCGATCCAAAATGAAACAAAAGAAAGGATCACAATGAGCATCGATGGAATATAAACTTGTACTAGAGAGATTCAAAGAATTTCCTTTCTCTAAACAAATATAAGAAGTAAAAAAGAAGAAACTCACCGAGATAATAACCAAACAAACGCTTTAAATGTAGAACAACGAGAAGGCATGTAAAACTGCCTAGAAAATCAATTATTCCAAAGAATAACAAGAAAAGTAGACAAAGACTCTCGAATTTGTACTTAGTACTAATCAAAAATAACTTTCTTCATTGGAGTATCTGTTTTCTTTGCTGCTTATATATAGAATGTCTGAACGAAGCGGAAAAGGCAAATAATAATATACACAAAGCAAGCACGACGAAAAATGACTGTCAATCAAAGCATTAAAATGAAAACTAAAATGAATTCATTAGTGCATAAATGATAGGTTGTGCTAAAATGAATGTGAAAGCGAAATGCGCGTGAGGATTGGCTTTATAAGCGAGATAACACAACATTGATAAAGAATATGGAATGAAAGCGAAGAAGTTTCAGTTTTTGTACCTGCGGCTTGTGTTGAGATAGTGACAATACTCAGTAAACTAAGTAGAGTTCTTGCTGGATGGGATTTATAATCGACCCAGAAGCCGATAAAAGATAATGTTACAATCAATGTCGATGGTAGATAAAGTTCTTGAATATATAAGTCAAGATTTCGTTGTAATTTCAAATGCACTTCGATACAAGCAAATGCGCCTATGAGCCGAGTGAAGAAAAGCTTTGTTTAAATAAGAAAATTAACAATATATTCCTCTCTATATAAGCAGCATGAACATCAACATCACACAAATGAAGAAAGATTATTTTTTTTTAGTGAATAATATTTTGCTAACACTTAGATCATATATCTAACCTGTGGCTGTTGTTCGATTGCAGTACTTCGCTTCATGATTACTTAAAACAAAATCAGGCATTTCGAGATCTTCATTGACTCGGATAGCACTGACATTTTGCGATTCATCCCAATAGAATGCCAAGTCATTGGTACCAAATGCATCTAATAAGCATAAATCATAGTCAGAAATGATTCGATGATGAAAGATAACGAAATTCAACGTACAACTGCCAATGTTAACTACGCATGTTTGGTTATCAAGTGGAAATTTTTGTAATTTCATTTGGCAATCAAGTTTGAGTAAGAGTCTGAAAAAGAATTTAGAACAAAACACTGCGTTTATTTTTGTTTATCGATGAAGAACAAACGAACCGTTGACTGTAGAGTACTTTACCATCGCGATGAATACGAATCAATCGATTGGGCACCGTAATATCACTGCGTTTACCTTCTTTGGCATTCCGAAAGAATGAATCCGGCACCCATATCCGATCGATAAGAGAATAATGCAAAGTAATTTGCGGTGATCGTTGTGCCCAATCTGTTCCGGAATAATTTAGACGAGGATCATACCATGACTGTCGGAAAATAATATCAGTATTATAATCCTAGAGAAAACAAATATATATTGAATATTCATTTGTGCCGATGAATAATTGTGAGTTGTTCAATGGCTATGCCTTACCATATTAACTTCATTGATAGCTGAAATCGTATTAATATGGATCGTCATTGTCACATTGCACGGTTCTATCAATGAAAATAAGCGAAATAGTTAACAAATCATGAACGAAAGGAAAAAGAAATCAACTCACTCTGCTGATCAAAAAATGGTCGAATACGCCTATCATAACGACTTGAATTAATGAGAGTATCGAGAAACTCTTCGACAGTTTTTATTGATGCATCACTGCGTTGTAAATTTGTGCTAGAAATAAGTGTGAAGATTGTTGTTAAAACATGCAAATCAATACGTAGACGCATAGTGTTTTGATAATCACGAAATAAGATAGATAATTCCGATTTATCGTCGTGTTGTTTTCAACAATGATAGATAGCATCGATTAATATATGTAGAATGAGGAGAAAGAAAAAGCCAAAGATATTTCTCAACCAACCAAGATGGTATAACAGACACATACGTCTTTTTCAAAAAGAAAACCAAGGAGAGAATCAGGAACAGAAGATGTTGACAGTGTATTGATAGAAATAATGATGACAGTATATTGATACGGATAATAATAGCATCGCGTCGGGATAAAAGAAAGGGTAAATAAACACTTATGGCAAGTCTATCAGTGTGAAAATTAATTTGACTGGCGAGTCGTTTTGCTTCGTTGACGAATCTAAGTTTGTTCTTTTCTTCTCGATCGCGATTGAGTTAAGCTTTATCTGACTATTTGACTGACACTCAATAACAGTAATACGTGCGTGTTATGTTTGGGAAAAGACACGCACAGATGCAGCGATTGACGACAATAATGATGACGAGCACATAAAATCGGCAAGAAATGAAAACGAGAGTGATAGAGAGATAATGACAAACATAGCGAGAAAGAGAAAGTAAAAGAGATCGAACAAAACAGAGGAACAGAGAGAGGGACAGAGAGAAAAGATGAAGGAAGAGCCGACAGAGAAAAGAGAACTTGTCTTGTCGTCGTTAAACGGAAATATTAATGAAAAAAAAAGAGATCTTTTTTTTGCTCGGTTTTTCTCAAACGAGTTTCAAAATTGCAATGGAATAACGAACCGTCTTTTCATACTAAACTGAACGTAAAACATATCATAATTAACATAAAAACATATGATTTTCTGCTTTAATCATTATCATCACCTACTAAACTGATTCATGCAGTTAACTACAACAATCTGTGTTTATTATTAAGGACAATGTAATTAACGAAAAACATTTCATTGTATTCGACAGAATATTTAAAACAGACAGTGATAGTCCGAGACGCATTCTAAGTACGAATGGGAGTCTTACTAAGCTCGAGAGACTTAATAGAATACTGGTTTTAGTTTCAGAATGTTTCCGTTGTTTCAATCAAGCCAGTCAACAGGAAGCTTAGTCTATACTGTTGGTTTATTGAGTACTTGTCAATCTAGCTTTGCTTGCTTTGATGAAATAACCGAGTATCTCGAAACGATTCTCTAGCAAGAGCAATCATTGGAGGAGTAGTGTTCAGCTTTATACATAATCTACTTCCTCTAGCATCTCTTCACCTTTATCTTTCTTTGTCACATGCAAATAGAAGATCCTGTCATTAGTCAAGATCAGTTGATAAAAACATCGTACATGAAAGTTGCCAAGATATCGACAATAAGATGTCAAACAGTCGTTATTTTGTATTAGTCAAGGGGTACAAACATCCCGAATCGATGAAACGTCAATGCAAGAATGTCATCTGAAAAAGCGATGCAAAATGTCCATATGTGACAGAATGCATTTACTACATAGTCGAAAATGTTATTATAATAATTTGGATCATATAAACGACAGAAATAAATGGCATCCTAGGGTGCGATGTTTTCTTAATCTAGTAAGAAGATCAGTCCTTTTTAGATCGAGTTGCTTTGTATTGGTCAAGGACTTCACGTCTGCGTTCGCCTGATTTTCTTTTTTAGTTTTCGAGGAGAAGAAAACACAATCGATCTGATCATAGCTAAAGTTCTGAAGCCTGAAAACATCAGACATGTTGTGAACAATGAACATATTCATGTTGGTTCATTAGTTACTTTGAATATATCTTGGCGTTCTAGTCAGACAACTCAGGGAGAAACCATGTATTTTCTTTTTTTAACATTCGCTTTCGTCTGTCTCTGTGTTGTTTACTGTTGTTCTTCGTTTAACTGATGTCGATACTAGATTAAATTACAAAGAAAACGTTGAAACGAAAGAGGCGAAAGAGAGGAAATTTTACTCTTGAAGAAATCTAAAGTGAATGCAATTAAGTAAAGAAAGCAATCAAAAACCCACCCGATGAGATCATTAGTGATCAAATTCTTCCTATTTGTTGACTGTTCTTCACACAACAACGGATATTGAGAGGAAAGTGCAGCAAGAATAACTGCGATTATAATATTGGATTGAACCATGGGTAAGACTGATGAACATGGCCAACGAAACAAGAACTAGAGGAATACTGCGATCAAACTAGATGAGAATCACTCTACTATAACATTTGTTCCATTGTTAGCGCCGTCTTTTCTTTATATTTGGACTTTCTCTGTCTCTCTCTCTCTCTCTCTCTCTATTTCTCTCACAATTCTGTTTCCATTCGCTGGGATTCTTCTTCTAACAATTTTTGCTTTGCAATTGTTCACCGCATTATAACCTCCATACAAGTATTTTTAGACGTTGTTAGTCGATTAAGGCATTGCCTCTGCCCTTCTTCAGTTTTTCTTTCCATTGTTGTCTTTCTTTTTCCTCATCTTTTTCATACACACGCTCCTCCCTTCTTGGTAGTCTCGTTTTTTTTTTCAAATTTCTCTATATCATTGTATTCGCTTGTCATTCTCAAAATCAATTTACACCAGGACAATTCAATTCTTGGCAAGACAGAACTATAATAAACGATTACGCTCTTTTATCGACACCCTCTTACAGTGTTCACTTTTCTATTGTTGGCCTTCATCAACTGGGATCAGCGTCACTTTCGGTTAAATAGAGTGGGAAAGGAAAAAAAAGAAACGACGACGAAGAATCACCAGTTCGATGTAGACTCGTTTCAATCAATAGAATGTTGGCTATGTCAACGAGAAAAATCAAGAATGAATACAAAAAATCAGTCGTTGAAGTTTGAGAAATCCATCGACTGTTGCATCATAAAATCAAAATCTGTTTCCATGTACAAACTCTCTGATAATTAGAAAGATTAAGTATGATAGACATTCGCATATTTATATCTAATGTCATGTCAAATAAAAAATAATCGTTCTTTTCACGATTAATGTTAATTGAAATACATTACGAGCAAGAATCTTCCTAACAACTCTATTACTGTTTTGGCACTTAATCAGACGTGCGAATAATCGAATTTCAGCTTTATCTGCTCCATATTTATTTCTTAACGTTGTCATCGTCAACATGCATACACCATGAATATGAGAATTTCACTGAATGGCATATTCTGGTCTGTCAAAACTTCTTGCCGTCGTACTTGTCATGTGTTTATGTATCGTATCATGATTACTTCAGTATTTAGGTCTCCGACTGATTAGCATAAGAATGTGTATCCATATTAAGGAGCCGTAATTGATTCAGTCACAAAACAACAACATCGATGAATGTCAACGATACGTCGAGATATGCGGGATTTTCTCATTGAATTTGTCTTCGACATAACTTCATTGTTGAATTCTCGGTGAAATGTGTTCAATACCATGCAAGAAAACAACAACAATACACTTAGAGATTTCTCTAATAGGCTTTAAAAATAAGAAACAGAAAGAGAGAAAAAATGAATACAATCCGATAATGCTTTTATCGACATGTGAAATCCAAGACTGTGAACTAACTACTGTTAATCACTGAAGAATTACACGAAAAAGATTTTATGTGTAAAATGTTGCTAAATAGCATTGCATTTGAAATAAATGAAGAAGACAAGTTGTCTTCAACTACATTTCATTATTATTGAGATTGTGTAATAGAGAAGAATGCATTCTCGCTATTAGATGTCGTGCTGAACGAAGTTTTTTGCTTTTTTCTACCTCTTTCTTACTCATTCAGTCACTTAGTAGTCATCTTCGAAGAGTCGAAGTAAAAAATGAATCGGCAACATGTTGACTGGCAATGAACATCCGGCTCGCATGTTTTAGCGATTTCAAACCATGGTTCCTCTTTTGAAAACTTTCCGTTCCTTTTTTTTTGTATTTATTCGATGTGAGGAAAAAGGTTAATTATCGTATGAATTTCTAAAACTTGGACTTCATATCCGATTGTTTCCACGAATTGTTTTCAATAACCTATCAAATCCTTCGTCGAAATACATTTCATCGATTAAGGAAATATCTCTATTCTTTCCCGTTCTTTCTTATTTACTTGTAGGTATTAATAATGCGACATTCAAAAAAGAAAATTGTAAATAAATAAGAACTATAGAATATAATGATTTAACTGAACGAGAGCGAAATGAATGAGAGCATATATATGAGATGGCTGTTATTCTATTGTTCGTCTATCTTGATTTTACAATATGTTTCTTGTCAAAAGATTTAAATACTTTTCCCGATAACAATAAGAAAGCCATTAGTTTCTATGTACCTGCCATTCATCATTCATCTTCACTTTCCTCGCTGCTGCTCTCTCTCTTTCTATATATACTTGTTAGTTTGATCAAAGTACAACATTCTCGAAACGGAAAAGAGCAACAACAACAAAAAAGAACTAGAAAGAACTTGATCGAAATAGATAACAACATACCAATCATGAGATGATGCACGTTCAGAATCAATCATCTTTTGCCATAATCGATGATTTGGATGGCCATCTTGTAAATCAATCACATCCGATGTTGTTTTAGTAGTTAATGTCTTTGTTGTACTCGTACTCGTGCTAATTATTTGCATGGCAAGTGAGAAGATTTGATTGTAAATAGGAATGAGAAGAATCATTGAGAAGAAGTGTGTGAGATGCATGGTACATTACGACATGTATTCCGACTGACAAAACGTCAGCCTGGAGATGAATTATTCGTCCATATCATTGTATTCGCTTGGCCATCTGACATTTGTTTTGTTAGAATTCTACGTAAAGAAAGAGAGAAGGAAAAGATTTAGTAGTTTTATTTGTAATAGTCTCAAAGAAAAACTTGATGTTGATAAGAACAAAACGAAGCAAAAAAAAGGAAGAATGATGGAGAAAAAGGAAAAGAACAGACGAGTTACAACGATGTATTACATACAACGTAGCAGATTTGTTATTTTTTATTTTCAGTTTTGTTCATTTCCACATTATACCCCTGCTCCTTTTCTCTCCCTATCGCTTCTGTGTGTTTCTCTTCCCATTTTCTCCCTCTCCCCCCTCCTCTCTCTCTCTGGACTCTTTTCTTTGCGTGTGTCACGAGTCATCTAGCAAGAAGAAAAGATCTTTTTTTCTTTTTCTGATAATGATAATGGAGGAGATGGTGATAGTGATGATCCGTCTTCCCCTTCCATCTCAACTTTTTACTGTTACCAGCATATGTCTTCCGTTCTTCCTCTTTTTTGGTTACCGTCTGCCATCAATTTCATTCTACAGTTGGTTGTTTTTTTTAACCAAACATCAATAATTTATCGAACATCTTTATATCTTGCAATGATTTTCATGAATAAATAAACCGTCTTGGATTAAATCTTCTTTCTATCTTAAGGACAAAATCCATGAAGCTTATTTTACATAACCTCTTCATGCTTGAATGGATATCCGTTGAGTTTTCTTTCTTTCGATGACAAATATTCAATGTCGGTTTATGAAAACATAAAATATTAGAAAAAGAAGAACATAAGTACAAAAGTAATACCTGAGCAGCCCTATTGAAAAATGAATGAATTAAATACAACTTCATCAATGAGCGAAAAGATGAATAGAAAATCTATTTTCAAGCTAATATTTCTCGTCGAGAACAAAATGAATGTCTCTCAATAAGTGAAAAAGAAAGAACATAACAATAAAGGGAATACTTCTTCATTACTTATAATCAATTAACACAAAACATATATTCAATGACAATTCAATTAATTAACTAGCCACTAGAGAACTTTCGCCGTTACGAATTAATGCGTTAAAGAAGAAAAATTGTCAATAAATCAATTGATTTACAATTAATGACAATCTTTTTCTCTCTCGACTTTAATTAAAACTGTGAGAATATTGAATCTAACAGAAAAAAGCATAAGTGTGTTCATAAGATGATCATATCAAATGAATGACAAGGATTCAAATAAAATATGACAGTAGTTCTCAATATATCAAATTAAGAAATTTTTCTAAGAGTACGTTCGACGTCATGGATGTACATACGAGTACTTCATGAAAAATTCTTGATGAGCAACTCGAACCCATCGCTAATGTCATTTTTGCTGAACAATGACACAAGTGTTCAGATGGCAGAGCGTAGGAGAGTTATTCAAGATCAGATACCGAATGTAATTCATCATAGAGGATCATAATTAACATCTCGATAAAATGTGAAAGTATATCATCGAATTTCATTCGTTAAACGAACTCAACTCGTTATCATTAGAACTCGTAGTCAAAAATCAATCGTTTGTTCCGTTTCGAATAATTCCATTTGAATACAACGGAAATCAATAGGCGTTTGATAATATTCATTCAATCAATTTTTTTTAGTTTAAAGGAAAAAGATTCAAGGGTAACTATTGGGACGAGAGGAGAGAATTTCTTTCATTATTTGATCAATCAATTATTGAACATAAGAATCGTTTTCTTTCCCTACGTCTCAAATACTCACTGAACTATTCCATAAGCAAAAACTTTTTTTTTTACATAGTTTATTACGAGCGATCTCAGGAGAATTCAAGCGAGCGAGCGAACAAGCAACTGACATATGTTTAGACAGATAGAGATAAAGAACAATTTCTCTATTCGAGTTTTTTTTTTCAATATATAGAAACTGTCTAATCGTATTTTGATTATTAACATCTGTGTCAACTTCGAAAGAGATTAATAACACAACAACCTGATTATTTCATCGTCCTTGAGATTATTAGAGATATCAGATCTAATGCGTTTTTTTTTCTTCTTAATTTATTGGACATCAACATGATTATCGCTTCGCTTTATTATTTCACGGAATATTCATCTTGCTAGAATTGAAGACATTTGAATAATTTATACAGAGCATCAAATATGATATATGATTATGCGAGAGTAAACTTGACCTAGACAAGTGATACGAACGTTAAAAATTCTTCTGTCTAGGAAAGAAATGACAATTAGTTAGGGAAATTTTGCTTGTGCAATTGATTGACTGTGAGAACATTCCTGCCAATAATTTATTATTTTGTGAAAGAATTGAATAGAGACTATAACAAAAGAAAAGTAAATATTAGAATCACTGCATAACCAAGCAAGAAAACAAATAAAATATTTAACATGAAAATACACTCAAGCATAGCAAAAGAAAAGGAAAACCGAGTTCAGTAAACATTATCTTTGATAAAATAATATGCCAGAGAGAAACTTGATCACAGATTGAATGTAATTATGATTTTTGTTCATGGTTATTATCAACGGAATGTTGAACTTAATCTGAATTGGATGGCGACGGTGATAATGCAGGAGTTTGATCATCGTTATGCATTGGAGCGTGTGGAGATTGTTTGTTAATCTGCATCCGATAAGCGTAAGTATTTTCTGTCGATTCAATACGGCCAGAGTTTAGATCAAAAGATCGACCTTTTGTTGCCAAAGGCGATGCAGTTGGTGATGGGCTCCACCACGACATGATATCTAAAGGAAGCGCGAGAGCGTCAATTGCATTCAGTTCGAAGATAGTTAGAAATCATACTTGAAATCACAGGCAATTGTCTGAGAAGACCTTCTTGTGCAAGCATCTGTTGATTTTCGTCCTGTAGGTCTTTTTGGACTTTTTCAATTCCTTGTTTGATTTTTTGTGCCATATCTTCGACATATTTCAATGCTACTTCAGTTTCTTTACCACTAACAGCTATTTTTTGCAATAAAATATCGAGATCATCCTGTTTTCGTATCATTCCTAGTCGCAGATAGAACATCGATTCTTGGTCATTGTTTGGTTCGCCGCCTAAGGAAAATGCTGAATCATTTGTTTGAAGTTTTCGAGCTAACTCAGCTTGAATTGTGTTTGTATCGTACGAACAAACGTCGGCTTTTTCATGACTGGGAATGTAACGAACTGCTCCGATACCCGCCCAATGTGGCATGGAAATCGAAACAAGATTTTCATATTTTGCTACAACTGTTTTCAGACGCGCACGGGCAGTCATTGTTGCAACAAGAATATCGATATAACGTTGCACATCATCGACAAATGCTTGCATGTTTTGTTCTTCGATCGTATCAAGTAAATGTTCTAATGGAGCAAAGCGAATCGCATGTGCAGCTGTTTGAGTGGAGGAATTCTCATTGGAATTATTAAGCATTTGGAAATGAATACACTTTAAGAGTTCTAAATTCATTTTTGGATATTGTTGAGATAACTTATCAAATAGCCAAAGATTCAATAGGTCAACATAACCATGAAGATCATCCAAGTGTTCAATCTGAATTATTGTCGAACAGAAAAGTTATACCGATATCATTCATTATTTCTATACTTACATCTAGTATATCAGTTGTTTCAAAACGAAAAATAATAATAGTCTTCGGTAATGGATCATTGAGTGTATCACCTTCGCAAATACGTTGATAGGTTAAGACTCCTTGGGCATAATCATCATTATTTAATATTCTTATCGTTTTCATTTGTTTCAAGCGTTTTGATAGCAGATTTACTAGTTCAAACGAATGTTTCATATGATAGAGCACATTCGATTTCGAGCATCGTTGACTAATTGACCAAATACTCAGGAAAGTAATGGATGGATTGTGTAGAATGGCATCATAAAATGGAGGAGATGCTGACGAATTATTGTCATTTGTCGTAGTAGAAGATGAATAAGATGACGATGACGATGATGTTCGATTCGTACTCGTTGTCGAAACTGTTGAAGAATCATTGGTATTAATTTGTTCATCCTGTCCAAAATTTGATTCGGTTGGCTTTCCATTCGTCATTGACACCATTGGCCGGAGAAAAAATGTTAAATATGGCAAATTTTGAATGCCAAGTAACTTTATCGTATCTATACTCAGACTATCACAACTGATATTTACATTTTCTTTCACAGTTGACAGTAGTGCTAACGAGCCGAGCAAATCTCCAGTTACGTGAAGCCAAAGATTATGTTGACGTGAAAATTGTTTTAATTTTGTCAATTCATCACATCGACCTAGGACATTCGTACCTAAAACATGACAAAAATTTGAATAGATCACTTCTCGGCTTTCTTCATTATCTCACCTGCATTTGCAATGATCATCAGTGGATACAAATGCGAATGATTAGAATCTCGCTCAACTAATTCCTGAAGTCGATCGACATCAATCATATCTTCGAATAAAACATCCTTTCGAACGTGCTCGAATTGAATACTTGTTATTGACGTTAATAAATCATGTTTCAAATTACGATCGAAATCAGCCGACACGTAAATAACTGCTTTTCGTTCGGATGTCTCCAAATCGAAATTCGATTGTTTTAACACATAACGAATAATGCGCGAGAATGTTTCAGAGTAGAATGTCGAATAAATTATTGCATGGCATTGAATATGCAGTACATCTCGACACCATGCGAGTATTTCATCTTGATATTTTGGAAATATGGATGATTTGACACTGTACGAAAGCGTATCGAAAAACGCAGAAATCTAAAAAAAAAGAACCAAATAGAGAATGAAAAGAAAATTGATTGAAGTTTACCATTGACACATCACCAACACATTGTAAATATTTATTCCAAACACCATGTACACATTCTCGAGCGTCTTCATCTTCTTGTAAAAATGATAAACAATAAGACATGAAATTATTCTTTATTCGATTATTCAATTCAACTAAATGAGCTGAATGATCGTCAATTTCGTCTTCTTCCTCATCATCGTCATTAACATCAGTTTGATGATTGTGATCGAAAGGTTTTGTTCGAATATGTGAATCGCCCATCCCATTCAATTTTTGCTCCATTTACAACCTACTTTATCAAATCTGAAATACAACAAAAAGGCACAGGTACATGATACTTCTTCCTTTTCATATACCGAGTTAATAAAAAAAAACTTCCGAGTGTTTATAATCGTTCGAATGTTACGCATATGTTTTCAATGTAATACTTTATATGTATACGATGAATGCTAATCATATTGTATGTACCATGCACATTCGGTCTCATTTGCTTTTTCTTTCTATTTCTCGTCGTTCTTTTTTTACTTTGTTAGTCAGGTAGAATGTAAGGACGTGGCAGTCTCAAAAAAAAATAGAAAAAGGAACAAACGCATGGCATGTTTGTCTTTCTTCGCCTTGATTGGTAGAATAAGAGTAAAACAGAAATTTACGTCAGCGTTGCCTTTTGTTCAGATGTGACACTGATTGGACATTCTTCACAGATGAAAATCAGATTAGTTTGTGCACAATAGAAATGAAGCACGTTTTCAATGTCAATGATTTATATAAACAGGACAATTGTTAGATTTTACTGCTCAGCAAAAAATATCCAAAAGATACAAAATGCTTCTGTTCGTAAAAAATATTTCACAAAAATAAGAAAACAAATAATCATTTACGTGTATCAACGTCGGGTATGCAAATTATGTTGCAATCGTATGTAGACAACAATACACACACGCTTAACATTGCCTACTTTGTTCGCGTTTTATTGAAGATAAATGATAATGGTATCCATACTTAGAGTTTTGCAGACACTCCTGTCATTTCTGTTATATGCTATTGTTGTCAAAGTGTTGTAGAATCGATACCAATCGGATTCTTGCAATCTTCGTGTCTGTTTAGAACTTCAACAGATGTCATCCAGTGCCACCAATCATTTCGAAATTTAAAACAATTCCTACTACGAGATAGATCTATAAATGACATAAATTGATGATAGAATCTTCTAGATGCACTTTCCGACACGGACATGCCACATTCCTCTAGTCTGCGCCAAACTTCCAATGATGAATATGTGTTCTCTTCGGTCGTTTACTCGTTCACGCGATCAATTGTGATAATTCCTCTCAGCCAGATATAATTTTAGCAACGTCTCTCGATATATACAATCAACAGGTTCACTGTATACCTTTCTCGCATATGTTGTTGCACTCTGTTCAGACGGAATAAAAACTTCCATTGGTTATTCTTTTCGGACGAACATAAACGACTATATAAATAGTCGTTCAAACGTCTCATTGTTCATCGAATGTATATAGGTGTGTGTGTGTATATGTGCAGAATATCGTTGACCAATCGTTATGTCATTATCAGTCTCATCCGTCGTCTCTTTCATCTTTCGATGCACAACAGACAACTATCGATATCTTTACTTTCTTATTTTGATACCAAATGCTTTAGTTATCGTCACATGGACATGGAGACATAATCTATCAGGGTAGGCTTAATATCGTTGATCTAATCAGACGAGTAGGTGCCGTTAGATGTCATTCATACTACCGGATTCAGACTCGAAACTGAGTGAATTCTTTGCGAATACATGTTGCACATCTAAAGAAAGTTTTGATGAAATGAAAACTTTTTTCAGATTGTCATGGTGGTCGAATCAAGTAACCGCGACGATCGTGGTCTTTGTTTACGTTACCATATTCTGTCACTTTGGTTGGAATAGGATCCATCCTACGCTTGATGGTTTGGTTCTAGGAGCAGTGGTACTACATATAATTATATCGTTTCCACCTGATGCGATGTGTAAAGCGCTAGATGATTTATGGGTTGACTGTATTGATTCCGATTGTTGGTTACCGTCATATTCTTGGGTGGTGCTGCGTGATGGACTACTGGTTTTATGCAGCTTCATCGGTGTCATTGCCTTAAGGTATTCTCTCACTCATCCAGTTCAACTTTGTGATCCGGCACCTTACGTCTTAATCGATGAACCACCACTCTCGAATCTATCGTCACAAAGAACTAGAGTGAGACGAAGATGTGGGACGAGAACACGTCCAAAGACTCGTTGTACTTTGGTTCGGTTTGTTGTTTTCGGAAGAATTCACAATCGTCGTCGACGATATGATTCTCCTAACTTTACATAGGGTTATTAACTAAAATGTGAACTATCGTTATTGTGCTGTATTTGTTATTGAACAAATCAATTTTTGATCGAATAAATAATAATCTCAGAGTGTGTATTTTTCTACAAGACTGCAGTGTTTACTTCGATGACCAGTCAATAGTAAATGAGGTTTTCTATAACCGTACGACCAAGAATCAGCGATTGTAATAGTCGCCGATGCATCGACAACTATTCTCTACGGACATGCGACGTTGAAATTGTTCATACTCAACTGAGCCACAATGATATGTTCGAAAGACCAAATAAGCATCGTCAGATACGATCGGAAATGCTGAAAAAGGAAACAGGTGGGTATGAATTTCAACAGAGTCAGAATGTAAATCCATTGCATGGAAACATTCACCAGACATGGATATGTGTTGAAACTTATCATGGTCACCGGTGAGTATAACTTCACGTATGATATGATAATATTTGGAAGTTGATGGGTTATGAGCGTCTGGGAAAATACTCATCGTTAGTTTGTAATTGAGATGAGTATTCTCTGTCAAAATCATCGCTGAGACAATCGCAATGCTCATTGCAAGCATATGTCTAATGTAAATATGATGTATATCGATGGCGATCACCTTGTGTATGAAAATGACACGTCAGGTTAGTTTTCATTCAGGAACGATTATACTAGAGTTTATGTAATTAAATTGAATATTTCATTCAGGAAAATAGCTCCATTACACCTTCTTTTTAGTAGTAAACTTTTCCATTGTGGAGAAGTTTTCTGTTACGAATGGCTGCGGCAAGAAAACTGTAGATGCAAGGAACTAAAACTCCGAACAAACTCAATTTCTGTTTATCTGTGGAACGTTTGTATTGAAACACAGAACAAAACCAAGAATAAGAATAAAAAAATGATCGGAAAATTTATTTTGTTTATCAGTTTGGCGGCATGACATCAGCGTCGTCTTCGATTTTAATCTAGAATAGAGAAAGTAGGATTTAATGCTTTGTATAAGATTTAAAAGAGGTAAGAATACGGGGGGGATCTGAGTATCAGTGTGAAATAGAACAAATGATGATGCTTCGAGTTAATGGCATGGGTGTGGGTGAAAAATTTTGTGATTGGAATCGGTAGAGCTTGTCGAACTCTATCTGGACCAATGTTGGAACTGCGCTGAACAGTGGAAAAGCGAATCGGTTTAAGATTTTTCGAATTTTTCTACTGTTTTTTTTTTTAAAATGTTTTCGAATGGAAAGGAAGACAAGCTCTGCATATGTTATCATTGGAACCGGTGAGATCAGAGTTGGAACGCATATCCGAACGAGTAAATTCTGAAAAACCTCGAATCGGACGCTAAGATATCTTACGTCAAGGGATAAAATTTGAATCTCTCTGTTCAAAGACATCGTGATCAATTAGTATTCGGTACGACCTCAAACTAAATGTTTAAAGAATTTTGGCATGAGGAATCAAATAATGATTTCGATTACTTGAGATCAAGTTTGAAAGACTAACCTGTTTTTTTCGATCAGAATTAAGGGCGAACATTGCTACCATTGCAAATAATATCAAGCAAACAATATACCATTTGGATAAAAACTGGACTATTATTTGCGCGGCAGCAAAAAAAGAAGCGCCAGCGAACGAGAGATATGGTGCTGGAAACGTCAATTGCGATGGAATGGAAATGATGAAACCTAAGCATCCAACAAGAAAACTTCCAATTCGATCATCAACTACCCATTTGTAGTTGGTTGAAAGTAGCTTCGGTGGTATCTTGACTCCGGACAGTCCATGTTCATCAACGGCCAGAGCAGCAGCATAAATTATCAGCAAGACACTGCCAAATACAACCATAATACGTGCCATTCGCCACAAACGATCCAGTCGTTGTAGTCTTTCTTTTTCGTTACGATGTTTTGCAGACCGTAGTTTAGCTGCTTCTAGCAGACATGCGTTGCTTGAAGCAACACTTTCAGCTTGCGAAAGCTTCTGTCTCAATTCAGTATTTTTTGTTTGAAGACGTTTTACTTCTAGAATCAACTCATATTTTGTCAATTGAGTCAATTTTGTTCCCGAAGCATCGACCGCCATGAATCACTAAATACGAAAATTTGGCAAGCTCATCAGTCAACACGAAATTCTCGATTTTTCGGGTTTCAACGAAAACTTCAACTGCAAGCAGATGAAATATGTCTTGTTATGATCTCCTATCTTTGGATCATGGTACAGAAGATTGATCGTTTCAGTCAGATGTCAATTTCAATTCGATCAACGGCCACAATGAACGTAAATGAAAAGCTCTTTTCATAGAACGTGGTACAAAACGTATTCCAAAGAAATATGTGTCTAGACGAGAGATATACCAGCAGATATATGATAATCTATTCTCTCTCCAATCAACAATGGATGGACTTTTTCTCGAGTTTATTCACAAAACTAAATCATTTTCATTATAGGAACGCGAAGGGAGTAGTCAACTAGACTCAAAGGACTTATATGATGTTCTTACCTTTTCTGGCTGTTTGAACGTTCGTTACGACCAAGGTATTTGTAAAAGTGACTTTATTCTATTTTATTATGAAGGAGATACGACACGAAATACAAAAATGAAGAAAAGAAAATTTCACGTGGTTCTGCACAGAGATGTATAACGACGAAATTTGTACAGAAAACATATTTATCTATCATTTATTTACTTTTTAAGAAACCATATACGAAGCTATGAAGTAGAAGTTCTTTAGTCATGTGTTTCGTTATCTTTAACTTCAGCTGGAATGAAGAGCGAACTACTTGATCTTTTCCAATGACTATCGCATAAATTCAAAAATTTTCCTTGTTAATATCGAACCGAATCATATTTTGCATGATATTATCATATTATGACGGTTTTTATCTACGACCAACGAAAATTATTAGGGAGAAAACGAATCATCCCTTTCGTATTCCCTTGTTTAAATATTTTCATTATTCATTCGAAAAGTTTTCCTTTCTTCATTCCTTTAACTTTAATGATTTTTCGCTTTCCTTAGCCTCGATTCGACGTGGTTGGATTAAAGCTGATATGAACAAATTTCTCTCGAGGGTGTCGAAGTACCCAATTGACACGAATGAATGAATTCATATTAAGAACATTATTATCTATGAAATTCTTCAAAATGTTAAGTTAAACTATCTCAATTACACGAATAGAAACGATTTTCTCGTTTTATGTTCAGGAAAAGATTGAAATATTATCCAATCAAATATTAAAGATAGGATAATAACTGTAAAATGAAATCCGAAAGGTTCCGTTGTTACTGAAAGAAGTGAAAATCTTTTGGCCAGTTTTTCAAGCAAATAAAACGTGATCAGAAATCAAACTACATATGTCACTGTTCTCGACAACAGTCGAACTCACATGAAACTAAACATGATTGACATATACTCTCGTACGTTGAGATTGTGGAGGAAGGTAGGTGGTACATAAAACGTTGCCTTCAACAACGTGCATTGCCCATTCTTCATTTTGATTCGAACATTTTCTGTTCTCCTCATACACTCGATTGATTGTATTTCAAACGTCGAGCAAAACTTTACAGCGACTAAGGTTGTCCTGAAAAGCTGTCATTACTTATATCCAAAAATGATTCCGTTTGGTCAAGTTGATTTCGTGCATACTGACCATACAGAGACGACTTTTCGTTTCGAAAAAGTACAATACACGAAAACGTCGGTGTTCGTTTTTTTCTGTTGATATCTTCCGTATCGGAAAATAGAAACCTGTTTATTTGAAAGAGAAGAAACTGTTATTTGGTACAAATCAACATGCAACAAGTAAGGCAATCTCACATTAGTGCAATTGAGTGTTCTCTATTCTTCGAACAGATCTATGCAAGCATAGGGCAGTATGAAAGTGTAAACGATGTATTGGTGATTCGCAATACAGTTTATCTACTGATCGACGCACGACTCTCTTTCGAATAATTATAACGTAGTCGTAGATTATGAGAAGTATACAAACTATGCTTCGCAGATTAATACTGTAGAGAAAAACACTGCCTTCTTCTTTGGATCATCATTATTGTGGCAATCTATTTAATGTCACGGATTTGACATAATCTCACACTCTGCGACAACGTTGCAACAGTGGAAGTGCGCTTCTTGTTATGGTAATCCATCTTCTACGAAATACTTTCAACAGTATCTCTCAATATTTACAATCAACAGGTTCACTGTATACCTTTCTCGCATATGTTGTTGCACTCTGTTCAGACGGAATAAAAACTTCCATTGGCTATTCTTTTTGGACGAACATAAACGACTATATAAATAGTCGTTCAAACGTCTCATTGTTCATCGAATGTATATAGGTGTGTGTGTGTATATGTGCAGAATATCGTTGACCAATCGTTATGTCATTATCAGTCTCATCCGTCGTCTCTTTCATCTTTCGATGCACAACAGACAACTATCGATATCTTTACTTTCTTATTTTGATACCAAATGCTTTAGTTATCGTCACATGGACATGGAGACATAATCTATCAGGGTAGGCTTAATATCGTTGATCTAATCAGACGAGTAGGTGCCGTTAGATGTCATTCATACTACCGGATTCAGACTCGAAACTGAGTGAATTCTTTGCGAATACATGTTGCACATCTAAAGAAAGTTTTGATGAAATGAAAACTTTTTTCAGATTGTCATGGTGGTCGAATCAAGTAACCGCGACGATCGTGGTCTTTGTTTACGTTACCATATTCTGTCACTTTGGTTGGAATAGGATCCATCCTACGCTTGATGGTTTGGTTCTAGGAGCAGTGGTACTACATATAATTATATCGTTTCCACCTGATGCGATGTGTAAAGCGCTAGATGATTTATGGGTTGACTGTATTGATTCCGATTGTTGGTTACCGTCATATTCTTGGGTGGTGCTGCGTGATGGACTACTGGTTTTATGCAGCTTCATCGGTGTCATTGCCTTAAGGTATTCTCTCACTCATCCAGTTCAACTTTGTGATCCGGCACCTTACGTCTTAATCGATGAACCACCACTCTCGAATCTATCGTCACAAAGAACTAGAGTGAGACGAAGATGTGGGACGAGAACACGTCCAAAGACTCGTTGTACTTTGGTTCGGTTTGTTGTTTTCGGAAGAATTCACAATCGTCGTCGACGATATGATTCTCCTAACTTTACATAGGGTTATTAACTAAAATGTGAACTATCGTTATTGTGCTGTATTTGTTATTGAACAAATCAATTTTTGATCGAATAAATAATAATCTCAGAGTGTGTATTTTTCTACAAGACTGCAGTGTTTACTTCGATGACCAGTCAATAGTAAATGAGGTTTTCTATAACCGTACGACCAAGAATCAGCGATTGTAATAGTCGCCGATGCATCGACAACTATTCTCTACGGACATGCGACGTTGAAATTGTTCATACTCAACTGAGCCACAATGATATGTTCGAAAGACCAAATAAGCATCGTCAGATACGATCGGAAATGCTGAAAAAGGAAACAGGTGGGTATGAATTTCAACAGAGTCAGAATGTAAATCCATTGCATGGAAACATTCACCAGACATGGATATGTGTTGAAACTTATCATGGTCACCGGTGAGTATAACTTCACGTATGATATGATAATATTTGGAAGTTGATGGGTTATGAGCGTCTGGGAAAATACTCATCGTTAGTTTGTAATTGAGATGAGTATTCTCTGTCAAAATCATCGCTGAGACAATCGCGATGCTCATTGCAAGCATATGTCTAATGTAAATATGATGTATATTGATGACGATTACATTATAAGTGAAAATCGATCAGTGTGAAGGTATCGCCACGAAATTAAAAAACTCATATAAAATCTTATGTTCAAATAAATTCCCGTTAGTAAAATAGAATTCATTCGATGGGGAACCAAAGCCTGCATCGAATAACGATTCGAAAGGCATTGCTCCTTTTGATAGAAACTTTCGTAATACGTAAAGTTGCACAAGTAGTCAGAAGTATGTCGTCATCCAAGGTGCGTCACATCACATGCTGCAAATGCGATGTGTAATTTTACATGTTGGCTTCTCTTGGTAACATCGTGTGCAAGCACGTTTATGCATTAGTTTCGGAAACGAAGAAGTGTTCTCTTGATTCAGATTTGAAATTCTCATCAAAACTAATAATGAATGATGAATGGTCCCGTTGTCCAATATGTTTTGAAGATTATTCACTAGAGCACAGACCAACAACATTTATATGTGGTCACTCGACATGTATTGATCATACAGTTGGCACTAAACGCTTACGAAATTGTGCGTAAGTTTATCCTTCTACCACAATGTATAATTAACATTTCATACGAAGGTCCTATATGTCGATGTTCATTAGAGTCTGTCACGGAATATCACGTATCGTATAATCTCGAAGAAGCTGCGCGTTTATTTCAGGCAATTAAGAATATTGTCGATTGGTCGACAATTAAACTTCCTACTGCAACAGCTACTCGTGATAATGCCGCAGAAATGATTCATCGTGATGAACTGTATGCTCGTCGTTTGCATGCAGAGTTTCTTCAGGAAAGAGAACGAGCTGTGGTAATAGATCGGACACCGCAAGCCAATCAGACCGCAAGCGCACAACATCAACCTGTTGGTTATCTAAAGAATTGCGGTCATCGATGCGATCTTCGTACGACTCAACGATGTTGTACATGTTCAGGTAAAATACTATCTAGATAAAGACTTTATTTTCTTCATATCATATTTTTTCCATAGATCGTCGACCACGAAGGCAAGGTAACACTTACGAAACATATGTTGATGGCCAAGGAGTTGTAAATTGTGCAGCCCGTAATGAGTTCTATTGTTCTACCTGCAAACGACAATGATACGATAATATTGAACATCAGAACTTACAAAAGTCCTCTATTATTATGTAATTTTCCCATACGTAAAGTTTTTCAACGACCCGTGCGCTATCACAGTTTTCTGACGAAATAAAATTTCTAAACCCGGAAATGTGAGCGAGCATGACAGTGATCTGCTCAGTTCATATTCACTAATTCTTAATCTGTTGTATGACATCACCGACAATGTACTTATTTGAAAAGATTATTTCAAAGTAAAAAAAGAGTCATTCAAAAAAGAACTAAAGCGGTTGTGTGCTTGTTTCATAAAAATGGGCGATGGGAAAAACAAGCAATCAGGTAAAGAAAAAGAAAATATTAAACTGTATATATATAGATACAATCAGATCGTCATTGTTTTCTTTTGCTTTTCTAGGACAGATATATTCATGTTTAGTATTGAGAACAGAATTTTGAAGGTTTTTCTAAGTATATTTTGAGAAGGATGCCGATTGATTAACATTATTACCACCGCCTTGTCCCAAACCATTTCGCAGATCGTATTGATTTTTATACGATGAACGATATGTTGTTGTATATGCACCTAGAAGACGATAGTTTTAATATGTAAGAGAATCCGTTTGCTGCTGTATTTACCTGGGTAATTCGATGCTGCTGAACGATATTGTTGTGTTGGCTCAGCTGTACTAAATTGTGGTTGAACCATCTGTGTTTGGTTTGATGATGGTGGTAATGAGTTTGTTGATGAACGACGATTTGTTAAATATTTCGAATAATTTACTGGAAGGTCAGTGATCTTGTCAACAATGCGTATTTCACTGAAGGAAATAAGTAAGAGAAGAAAATCGTAACAAGTGCCTCATACCCATGTGTACTCGTAGCATTGTGTGTTTGAGGATCAGCACGAAAGACACCTTCATCAACGACAACTTGTTCGTGATGAGCTTTTGGCTGTTCATATTCGATAATCAGATTTTTTGCTGGTTTAATTCTAGAATCAATGTATTGCATAAGAGACAACAAGAATTTTTAAGCATACAACAACACTCACATTTCAGCAGGTGGTGCTCGTTGGACAATAACTGGTCGTTCTTTTGTTTCTTCATAAGGTAGCCATTTTTCATAAATAACCTGCCGTGGTTTCGGTGGTGGTGGTGGAAGTCGTTCGACAATAACTTGCCGAGGTGGCGCTGGGGGTGCTGGTAGAATCTTTTCAATAATTTGTGGCTGTTGTTGTACTGGTGGAGTGGGCGGACGCTCACCTTAAATTCAGATGAAGTCACATTTTCACGTGTTTTCGTAGATAGAAAGCCATCTTACGGATAATAAGTGGCGGTGGTGTGGGCGGTGTTGGTGGACGTTGTCGAATAACCAATGGTGGCGGCGGAGGCGGAGCTGGTGCTTGTCGTTCCTTAAGTTAATGCAAAAATGAAATCTATTCGAAGAAAATTTCGGTATACTTTGATAATGATGGGTGCTGGTTCAGGACCTGGTGGTGGTTCTAGAAAGCGCACATTAACCTGTTGCTTATAATGAATATTTTGATCAGTTGGTTTGACCACTCTCAATGGTTCATGGTCCGATTGTACATTTAAATTTTCTAATCGACCTTCGGGCGCAATAACTACATTGAGAATGAGACGAAAAGTAATTAAACGTACGAATCAGTAAAGTTTCGTCTTCCTACTTTCATGGGTTCGATAATCGGAACGCTGATAATGATGACTTGGACCAGCACGAGCAAGAATTTCATTACCCATGCGTTCATCGCGAATAACATTGCCTGTTGCACGTAATAATGTCGTATCAGCATTCGCTCCATAGTTTTGCGAATTTTGTTGCGACGTTAAATAATTAGTTTGTTGTTGAAAATTATTCCTAAAAATCCATACGTTACAGGAGAAAACACAATCAAAAGAAAGTAAGCTTGTTAGAAATTTTAAAGAAATCTCTTGAATAAATAAGCAGCATTAGAAGCTGAGTTTTCTTTCTTTCTATTTACCCTCGTGGTGAAGTACATTGACAACAACTAAACAAGAACAAAAATCGAAAACAAATAAAATACGCTTGGCACTATTTCAATCTGTAGGAAATACAATTGCTAACATAAGTAATTGATACTTTTCAGAACAAAAGATGTATTCAGCGTTTGGCACACAGCCTTACCTTGGTACGTAGCCGGTTGGCCTATAAAATAGGAAGAACAAAATGTATTAGAATACAAATCATTCAAAAGAAAAGAATTCGGCGTCTCTAGATTAAGAGATACAACGTTCTATTTACATTCGATTGAATTCTGCCTGAGATATATGCATGTATATAGAATTTGTTTTCCTTCGCTGTTCGTACGTCTGACATTCGATATCGCTTTGTGAAATCCTTCAATTTCATTAGAGACGGGCAGTGAAAACTTACCCTCGCGGTGTATTTAAATTCGAACGATATTTATCAAGAAAGGAATTAAAGCCGTTATTTTCTTGTCTGGCTGATGTCGCCATAGCTTATTTTTGTAATCTGAAATGTTTAATTTGATGAAAGAAGAAAAAACACTTTGCTTTTCTACATCAAGATCTAGTGGAATGATTTGAAAAGAAAGAATGCAGGAAGCCATTACCGCTCGCAATCTATCGGCAAATGATGTTAGATGTATTATGGTCGGTTGCTATTCAACGAAAGCATCCCTTAGCCAATACGCAGTTAACTAGTAGCATGCCACTCCCCGCATATTTCATGCTTGCCGTTTATTGTTGCCAAGCAAACAACGAAGAGAAAAGAAGAAATAATCAAATCTTATTTTTCTCTCCTTTGTTGTCGAGTGCCAACTTTTTTCTCTCGCTTTCTTCTTCTCTAGCTGATTAGAAAAATGTTCTTTGAAATAGTTAAGTATATATTTTCTAAGAGAAGCAAAAAAAAGTTGTCTGTCAACGTTGTTCTTTGCTTTGCCACACAACAATATGCAAAAAACAACGAAATGTGTTCACTGTGAATGACACCGGCAAACAAAAAGAAAACAAAATTATTAAAATAACAAATAGGTTAGAAAGTGTGGAAGCGAAATAGAAAAAGCGTCTTAGAAACTGAATGCAAAACCATAATTGGATGCATCGACAAATGCTTGAATAAACGATTTATTTATTCATCTTCGAGTCATTCGAGTTGAATTTCATTAAAATCTGTTCGATAGTTGTTTTCACTTGAGAAACAAGCAATGGAAAAAGACACAAATCAATTGAATTTCTCCGCCGACGATGAAAACTTCTTCGAGATGATGTTTTCTTTTCATATTTGTTCAAAGATGAACTTCAATTTCTGAATCTTTTCAAGGAAGTCAAAGAAAAACTCTAGCCTAGACGTTGCCATAAACATACTTTATGCAAATGTAAACAATATACATCAAGATGGTTCGTAACTAGAATACCGAGAAAGAAGTGTGAAGCACACTTTAGTCAATCAACTGGAAGATTTCTAGAATAAAACATCAAGGTAATATGAAAGGAAAGGTTTCGTTTTGTTGTGTTAGTGTATGATGAATTCTTTCGCACTGAAGTTCGATTTATTTCCCAATTATATAAAATAATCATTTTGAACAGAGAAGAAATATTAGAGAGAGAGAGAGAACGGATGAATAAGTGAAATAATATTTATAAATTTATGTATATAGAGATGATACGGAATGATTTTAGTTTTTTGACTGGCCAATAAGGATCATTAATGCTAATGCTAATGCAAAAGCGATGAGAAGATGAACAGAAAGAAAAATCAGTTTGATTCGATCCTTCACCGGTTCATTCGCTGACGATATTGTTTCGACTTTTGCATTATTTGTTCCATTTCGATCATTCATTGCAAACGAATCTGCTTTTTCTGCTTTCAATGAAGTCTTTTGAAAATAAATTTCGATCATTTCAAAAGCTACGAATATTATTGGTAACCAACATGACCATGCTGCAACGATTGCCCACTCTTTGTGCGTTCGGAAATCGAAATATTCGAAAAACATCGCTAAAAATATTGCGGCTATGGAAAGTATAAAGGCACTGAAACCAACAGCCGCATGAGCATAATTAAATACGAAACGATAACGAGCGTCCGGATTGCACCGAAATAAAGCCATAAATGGTTGAATAGTTGCGAAACTTATAACTAGCATTCCAATGACAGAATGTGCAAATTCACGTCGATTCGCTTGTGATACCCACTGTCCTTTTTTATAGACAAGGATGAGAATAAAAGCAATCAATGTTAAAATTGCCACACTGGTCATAATAGTACGATGAACAGCAAACCAGATTGCTTTACCACAAATTTTTCGATTACTCCACGAACGTTTGAAGTAGCGTGCAATAAGAATACCTGTTGAAACAAGAACTATCCATGTGAAAATCATGATAATACCATGGGCTTTCATAAGATTATCAGAATTAGGTCCATTGGATTGAGCATTGATAGCAATTGTCTCTGCTCGATTCAACATGACACTTCGAGATAGTGCGTCGCGAAACGAATGTTTTTCAAGTCGACCTATCGATTACGGCTTTCAATAAAGTTACATTTTGATTTTTATAACTCACCTGAACTACCTAAAGATCCAAGTGCAATCAATGGACTGTATTCAGTTGATTGAGAGAGTGCAGGAAAACTAAGTTGATCGGATTGATTTGCTGCAGGGACAAAATCAGATAGTGTAAAATCACAGTCCGCAACTCCATTCTCAAGTCTTTCCCGACTAACAGTGAAAATACCACCCCAATCTGAAATTCCATTGTGTGGTACAGGTCGATCATGACCGCCTGGATTAATATAACGCTGAAGAGATATTGTATCATTAGCTAAGCGTCGACAGATGAAGACATGATCTTCTCCCTACACAAGTAGAAAATACAGTTGACTACACGACTAACTTAAAAACAAGGAAAGTTGATCTATACCATTCTATGATCGCGTGAAAAACCAATTGCAAACCACTGTAACGTTTTCAGATTATTGATTCTCATATTGACATTAGTAGTACCATTATTGTATGTCCAACTAATATTCGCTTTAATATCACTTGTCACGGGTGCAGTTGCGTTAGCCTATCGAATATAAAATAGATCGATTGTTTCTTTCAACACATAGTTTCAATAGAAAAATGTCTATTCACTCTGTTTGACTCACTGTTGGTTTGTCAATATCAATCATTTCTGGATTTTGTAGTTGATACGTTTTCGATGAGACAAATGTAAAATTGTGTTTGGTTATTAAATCTATTGCGAGACATGAAAGGTTATTTTTCACAATATTCAAGTATTTGTCGAGAAATTCCACCTCCTGTGCGAAGAATTCCGGCACCAAAGATGAGATAATAATTTTTGTTTGTGACAACAGGCACTGGTTCATTTGCAACCTGTTCAGAAGTGGTATTGAAAGAGAATTCACATGTTGCTTGACCATTTTCATACGTAACACTGATTAAAGAAACATCTGCAACAGATGCACTCGGTCTGTAAATTCAAATCCAATCAACCTTCAATTTAAGAAACAATATTTAATTCCTACGGTCGTTTGCCACCCAATGTATGCATTCGTCGAAGTAATGGAGCGCCTGTTGATGAAACTTGGCATACGAATATATACTCATTACCCTGATATAAGTGAAAACAAATGAGAATTATGTCAAAGTTTTCCTTGTCTTACCATTTCCCGATCGTCAGAAAAACCAATCGCTCTCCATTCACTAATATTGACTTGGTTGGTAGTCATTTTTACCATTACCGTATCGTTAGTGTATGTCCATGATACGTTTGTATTTGCTTTCAAGAAGGAATTTCGTTCGAATCTACTTTGATTAGCTGAATCTGTCTAAAAACCAAAAGAATTCGATTTGTTCGAATCAATGTCTCTCCTAAATATACTTGTGTTGTTGGTACTAATGTGATATTAAAGCAATCCACGTAAATTTCATCATATGATTTAACAATAGTTGCCCTAAAATTGTCGATGTTCACATGAATTTCTCGTTGTAAAACCATATTTAATTTACTTAATAATAGTATCTCCTTGTAACAGAACGTTCGGGGCGTGCCATAATGCTTCGACTCGTAGTTTTTCATCAGCTGTTGTGTGAGTGATAGCTGTATTCTGTTTGCTATCGCAATCGATTGTTTTAACTGGTGAATTCGTTGTTGACCATGTTCCAACAATCTGCTGATTAGGTTGATTTTTAGCCATAAGAAGAATTCCTTTAAAATGATCGTTATCTGTTACACCATGAACAGTGACTAAATAGAATATCGAGAAAGAACCTCAGTGAAATAACGTTTTCTCTCCATAGTTTTATCATTACTTCGAACAATATCATCAGGATAATATACGGATTTATCCGTTTCGATAATATACTTTGTTTGACATTGTTTCGGTGCTACATGATGATTTGGCATCATCGTGTCACATATCTCAGTCGGTGCACCTTCGGGATACCCATATCCATAGTTGATGCAGATTAAAACAAGAAGAAATCGAATCATCTGAAAAAGTGATATTAATTCGGTTTGTATGAATTAAAATAGCTTTTTTTTATCTTGCCTATCATTTTTGACTAGTCATTGCATGACAAAGCAAATTCTTCGTTGTGCTTTGTCAACACTTTATTTTCATCGATATCAAGTCATGTCTGATATGTACTTTTTTATTTTCTTTCTTTTTTTTTGACAAATCGCTTTACAAATGTAAAACGAACCATTTTATATATACATATTTCGAAATATTATACTACGCGCGTGCAATACATACTTAGTCGTTGTTCGATGTAATGGATGACATATGCATTGTTTTCGAAATCTCTTTTTGTTCTGCAATCTATTCTTTTCTTTCTTCTGCTTCACCTCTTCGATTTAAATGATAACTCGTCTATGTGATACACGTATTTAAATGATAAGTCATGACCTCCAAATAGATAAATATACGTACACATAGTTACCAGTACAAAGTAATCGTTGACTACATCTCGCACATGCGTATATCATTGACAAATCAAAATGTATTTATTCATGGCCAACCGTTTATTCATCATCTCATTTTCTTTTGAAGGTCTTTTCTCTTTTATCATGCAGTGATAAAGAAAAAGTCTCGGCTCATATATTCACAACAACAACAACACGAGCAGCAAAACGGATTTTTAAATATTGACACAATAACACAAGAAACAGACAATTGCTAGATATTAAATCTATGATTCAATTCATTCTCTCTTGTCAGACAACGACTAGATTAAGATAGGATCAAATAAAAATCAGTTTTCGATTGATATTGAACTTAATTCGTTTCATCTTTACTTAAGAATAAAATCATTTCAAACGAATTTTTCATAGGTTTCTACACTGATTTTCATCTCTATGGCTTGCCGAATTGCTTGCTTAAACATTAACAAACTTTAAAATACATACTACATCAGAAAAAAAAACGTCTATGAATTTTTTAAACAGTCAGAGAGAATGACAATAACTGATTGGAATAAGCGGACAGAGAGAGAGAGAGAAGAAGAAAAATGGGCACAGTTTAACTAAAACTCTATTTTCTTATTTACACTTAAATATGCATGAAAGAATTCTCACACATTCCTTTTAAGATATATTAAATTAACATTCTCTTCGTATTGATAATGAAAGTGCACACTAATAACAAAGCAAAATGTTCACTTTTTACTTATCACTAAGAATTACGGTACGTACTATGATCAACTTTCACTGACAATATACGGTTACTCCGTATTTCAGTTCCTCTTTGAAAAACAATGAACGCAAATCATCGACGGATAAAAGATGAGATAACTAAGATAGCAGCTAGACCCAATGAAACTTGTGTCGTATCGAAGGTCGATCCGACGCGAAAGGCGAAAGTCCAAAATCTACGATCTCATTCGCCAACATTGGAATGTTTAACAATCGTACGAACAAAACTTAATGAATATCTTAAATCCACTGTCAATATTATTCCAACGGATCACATATCAAAGCCTGTGACACCCGAAGAGTCACGTTCTTCGGATCCTGATTTGTACACACCACCAATAGCATCACCAAAGAAGGTGAAATCGCGGAAAACTCTCGCTATCCAGCCAATGGATAAAGTCACCTATGAAGCAAAACAAACACGTAATGGTGATCTGAGACAAAAGTGTTCCGTGGAAATTTGGTTACCGCATGCTTATAGTGATATTGATGACGATGCTCCAAACACAACTGGAACATTATCCCCTGTTTCAAACATCAGTAATCGAGTATATCATCAATCAGAGATACCTAAAAGCCCATCAATCACTGCGTATAGTGATACAAGATCGGAGAATGCATTATCGTCGAACAATTCGGAAACGGTTGTTACATCCTACGTTCCTTGTAGAAAGGATATTCATGATGACAGATCGGAAGAACGAATACGTTCAAGTAAAACAGTCCGAGCGAATAAATCTTTTCGTATTAAGCGTTCACGCCGTCGACGATTGTCTCAAGATACGCATCAATCGACAACAACAGGAATATCTCTATCATCAAAAATTGCACATCCGGATGTTGATCAAATATTTTATGTACAGAAAATGAAAGAAAATCTTAGTTCAAATACTAACACAACAATAAATGATCCGTTGAACAGATCTCCGCGAGGGCAAGCAAATCAACGAATGATACGAACAAAAAAACCGTTTGAACATGTCCGTCATTCATCAGGAAATAATGCGCATATAACCCGAGGTAGACATTGCATGAAGACACTTTCTTCGATCGCTTTTTTATCTATTTTAGAATTGAGAGCCCATCAAACAGTTGCCTTCCGAATCATTCTCGGTAATGCACTACCATTGCGATCTGCTGGTGAATATAATATTATGGATCCGAAATTACTCAATTCTTGCTCATCAAATTCAGAAACTTTACCAACAGCAACACATTATGGCTCTAAACTCGACAATCATCGAGTATCCACTTTACCTACCATACAAACCAGAAAGATCGATGACTCATTTCGAAATGTTAATAATACAAAGTCACCTTCACGTTTAGTTATACATCCTAATCGTGCCAAAAATGCTCCAAACTCAATGACATTATCTCAAAACATCACAAATGGTAATGAACATCATCCCAAACGATCCTTGCCATTGCCATTATTACTCGTTCATCCTGAACAACGACGACATTCGATTGTATCTATAAATAGACAACCTATTCATTTCAAGTATAGTAAAGGTGATAATACCAATTGTACTTATCTTACACCAAAATGAAATATTTTGTTTCTTTGCATAATATACATGATTGGTCATATTCTAATTTTTACTATCATCATAAATATCTTTAGCGACCACTTTTGAGGACTTTGGTCACACATTCTCGAACATCGAGAAAACTAGTTTTTGATTCAGTGTAAAAGTCGATACTCGCATACTTGAGCATTATTTCGATTGAGTACGTTTTTAATGAAGATTCATACATCCAGACAAGAATATAAATCTTCACAAGACAGAAATCAGTGTTGAAAACTAATGGTATAAACAACCTATTTCATTCTGTTTTCGTGTCTATATGATCAGTACGCTATAATTGACGATGATTGGAGTTTTACACGAACTATGCAGTATCGCTCGCACATTTCATCTACATTGAAGTCGAAGAATCTAACAAGTGCTGAGAACCACAATAAAATTCCAACTGTCACAGAAATACTTAGTTTATTCAATGGTATATTTATTTTCAAGTTCTGTCGTACAACTTTGTCTATCAAAAGATGTATTGAAGATATTTATATGAATGATGTTTGATCACACACAACAATATTTAACACGATTGTTCCAATTTTTATTAGCATTTTGCTCTTTCAATCATTTTTTATGTCTACATGTGAATAATCACCAAAACATAACAAATAACACATTTTGTTTTGATTCTATAACAAGAAAAAAATTATATACAGGTTCATGTACCAACGATGAAACAAGAAACGAAAGACGTGTAGTAGAACAAAACAACGATATGAATTAATTCGTTGTTTTACGTTGACGTTTAGTCGTTGTTGAATGAGCTACTATTGTTTGTCGTCGAAGATTCTTCGATGATGGATTATGATTGTTTTCGTCGTAAGCCCATGGAGTAAGTGCGTCTTCCATTGACTAAAATGTTTAAGAATGAAATAATATTAACTATATCCTACAAATACTCTTACGGTAAATAATTCCATAGAATATTTAATCATATATTGAGCATGTTTATGGATATCTAAATCTCGTTCATAAGCATAGAGAGCATTTGTAAACATCATTAAAATATCACGTTGAAATAGAAGCATATCATCGTCGTAATCGCCATTATTCAGACGTTCGCGTATTTCAGGTATATCTAATGGATGTTTAATTTGAGTATAATATTCATCTGATAATTTGAAAGAATCAAGTGATTGAGAAAAATCATAACCATATCTAAAGAAAAATCATTCGACTTCGTTGTAATCAGTGAATATAATTACTTGGCAGATTTTAAACTACTGAGAACTGCATTGATCGATTTGCGATTATGATTCTTTGTTAGGGTAGGCATTACTCTGAATTAAACAATTGATGAGTTTTAGTATTGTTTTCGTGGAAGATTTTCTTTACCGTGGTTGTCGACGTGAATTTCTTGATGTTGTTAGGTCATTCACTTCTTGCATTTCAGAATGTGATGATGCCATGTAGTTATCAATATAGTTCGACGAACTTTTGAGAATATTACCATTAGAGATGGGCGTTCCATCCATTTGAACGAGATCGCTATCAGCACGATCTCGTCCTGAAATTGTCGGTGTCATTTCGTTTCGAATCAGATGTTGACTATGATTTTGTATCGATGAATGATAACTCGTTGCACTACTATCTCCATTAAGATCAGAATTTGATAATTGTGGTTGCTCGCTAATCGTAAGAAAAATCAAGTTGGTTTATTTTTTGCACAGTGCGAACATCAAGATCCAGTTGAATTACCTGTTTGTTACTTGTTCTTGTGCTGACAGGCAAGTGTCCACAGTTGATTGATTACTCAGACTTGTGTCACTGACGTGTTCGTAAAAATCTTGATCATTCGAATTGGAACCTTCCGATGTTATTGGCAATGCATTTGCTGATTGATTTGTTTCCGTTAGTTCGTCGGAAATTAGTGTTGATTCTTCTTGATCCTGACCTACATCCGCGCGTAACGGTTGCTCATTAGTGTCATCATCAGAACTAAGTTCAATTTCATCGATATGAACTGTAGTTGCTTGGTTCTTTGCTATAAACTGTCGATCGTTTTCAATCAACAGATTATTCGATTGGATTATGATGGGAAACGATGATAATTCCGGTGGATTTAGTTTTGGGTGAGCATCGAGAGAAGGTACTTGACGATCGTTCGCATTTGGTGGCGAAATTGTTTGTGTTTGCGGTATGAAATTTACTTGCGTTTGGAAGAACGGTGGTGGTGGTGGTAGCAATTCAACCGGAAATGATGAGCTCTAGTTTAGAAAATCAAATTTTGTTGTATGAGATAAGTCGAAATGACCAGGTTACTCGTAGATCTGTTGGCAGATCGTTTTGCTTGGTCATATAGGATTTCAGGCGGCCAAGCATTTTAATTTTGAGTTCTCGTTCATCGTCGTGAAAACTATTTCCAGACGGCGCACTAAGAGGAAAACATGTTGCGTGCTGTATGAGCAAAGGATTAAGACAAATATGTTCATACGTATTTTTAATATCTTCTAAGATATCATTGATATCCTTTGAAGTGATTCGACCAATTTTATATAGCCGTATAAAGTCGTAGGTAACCATAAGTAAATCTCGTGATTTCGTCATTCGATTGCAGAGATCACCATAATACAGACGTTTAATGATTGTAAAAATATAACTTTGCAGCGATTCTGATGATTGTTGGTTCCTGAAGAGAATATTTCGACAATTCACAACTGCAATACAATTCGTTGATACTTTGTTAATCACTCACCAATCATGTCCGTATTGTTGGTACAAGCGATCGAATTGCATTCGACAATCCTACGAAAAGCAACTAAATCCCGCAACCGTGTGCAATAGTATGCTCTTTACTTGCGGCGTGGTGTTGATATAATCCGCCAGATCGCTGGCTATTGAATTCCACGCTTCAAAATGTGATGCATATTTACAAACTGTGAAAGCAAGCATATAATTGGATTTTAAATCCCATAGATGGGCAGTCATCTGTAAAGAAAACAGAAACTTTGCTTTTCATCCATAAGAATTTTGCTTCACAAAATGAAAAGGTTTTTTCATGCACAGTAGAATCAATCTTAACAGAATGTTTATTTATATTTAATTCTATCAGTAGCAACATAAAATTCTTTTTCGAGCTGTCGTGTCGATGGATTGATAGGAGAGAATCCAATTGGACCACGTTCACAATTAGCACAAACAAGATATTTAGTTTGATTGTTAACTGTATTAGAAAAGCCAACGTTTTCAAATGTGAACATGTCCGATACTAACCAAAATAATTCTAATGAATCACATGGATGATCACTTCCGTTAATAGATAAACGATTCGTGTCGGCGTCTGTTGACGACTTTTTATCGACACTCATTTGAGGCAATAAAGTTGGGTTTTTTGTTAAAGTGGCTGTTTGCGGACGAAGAATAATATCATCACAAAATGAACACACAATTGTTTGAGTATTTCGATCACCAATCGTTGGTAAATTCTCCATGGAAAGAAACGAGATTGTCTAATATTTCTCTAGATATTCCCTTGTTCTACAATCTATAAAAAGAAGATTTGTTGGGTATTTATTTGTCGTTAGTTCATTGCAAGGAAGAAAATTCGCATCCGAGTTGAATACTCTACAAGTTAAGAAACACAAACAGAAGATATACACACACACATAAAACATGAGAATTACTATTCAAAAATGGAAGGAAGAATGACAAGAATTGAAGTGAACATTTACTCAAGCATATCAAGCAAAGTAAAGACATCAACACGAGAACATTTTGGTGATTGATATCGAATTGTATTTTCGATTCCACCGTGAAAAGTAAAAATATTTACGCCAGTTGATTGTGTGCGTATCATACATTCGATGCGTTCATTCGTTGGCATAAGATCATTAAATGTATCTAGATTATGATGAACTGATCGATGTGGAAGATCATCTTCCACGTAGGAGAAGGATTTTGCAGGCGAAGGTGCTTGGAGGATAACTAATTCATCATGCTTGAGAGGTAGATCTTTCAGATCAGTCGATAGAGAAAGGTCATCACTTGTCAATATCGGACAGATTGGTTTACTATTTGAATTTACTTGGCCTAAAGCACGACGCCGTTGAAGAGATGCAGGTGTCGAAAACTTCGTTGTTCTATTCGAACGTATTGGCGTCATCATTGGGGTGACATGCATTGATAAATCAGTAGTATTAGTTTTACTAGTGAATGCAATGTGTTTGATAGTATTTGAATAGAACATACGGTCATTCATTGTTGTTGCTGATAAGGCACTGGTACGCTCTAGAAAGAAAAAAGCAGATTGGAATTGGATTGCGCTTATCTAAGCTGTTCATATTACTTGGCGTTTTGAACAGATAAAGATCACACTCGTTCTCTTTACTACGTAAAACTGTTGTCATTCTTCTTGTGGAATCCCGAGATCTGGAAAGAAAACACAATACATCAGTATGATTTATTAGATTTCATATGCGTCACGACAGACAACAAAGTGATCCATTTGTTTCGTCGTTCACTCGGACGACAAGTGACTATACGAGAACATCCTGCGAAGAAATGAAAAACGAAAAACAAACAAAAAACGCACGTATATAAAATTATCCAATGAAAAGAAGAAAACAAAAGGACCAACGAGGGATCGTCTATCTAGTCGTGTAGATGGCGATTTTAATGTGGTTTCTGAGTTACATTTCCAAACGAGCTGAACTATTATTTTAAACTTCTCAAGAAAAAAAGAAACTATTGATATCGATAAATGAACATAATACAATTCAGCAGTCACATTTGTGTTACGAATAAATGCAGCTAACATATTTGACATCACAACTGCAATGTCTTAATTAGAAGGAGCAATATCAGATGACTTTTCGATAGAACTCGGTGCATTCGATGCTTGCGCAGATGAGTCACATGAAGTGTTGAAGAGAGCACGAGTTTCCTGTTGTTCTTTACTAGCTAGACCTGTAATCGTCTTTAGCGCAATTTCAAGTAAAGATTTTGCACCTAAATAATTTGCTATCTGAAATTGAAAGAAGAAAAGTAAGTTCGTATGATTTGTGGAGCAAGAAGCAAGGTACCGTAATAATTTCGAATAGTGTTCCGTCTGCAACGGTAAATTGCTTCATAAAGTTCAAATTCCACTCACCGGTACTATCGAACCTAGGCGAGAACAAATACGATCATATTATGACTTATGAATAATAATGTGCAGCAAAAGATTCTTGTACTTTTTCTTTTCGTTTGTAATCCCATTGGTACCATTATCGTTTCCAACTGCTGGCGCTTGACATTCATTTTTCTGGTGGTCGTAAAATTTAATAACCTAGCAAAAACATACACATAGGTGTGAAAGCAAATCAGTCAATTAGATTCTTCGTTTACTTGCTCCAACATTGTTGCACTGACTGCTATCAATGGGATAGGAGCATCGCCTGTATTTGTTGCTGAGAGATATTTTTAAAAACTGAAGAATATACATATTTTTCATCGTATTAAGTTACTTTGGCATAATTCTTTCACAGTTGATAGTTGTTCAATAACATTCTCATCAACTTGAAAGATTTGACCATCGCTAGCTTTGAGTTTGTATATTCGTAAGGGTGCACTCTGTGTCTCATTAGCAGTTGCCATTTTGAAATAGCCTAAGAGGAAAAATAGAGGGCATGGTAAATTCCAGTTTCATGGGAATTCAAATAAAATATATATAAAATAAATTTAAATTTATTTTATATATATTTTATTTGAATTCCCATGAAACTGGAATTTACCATCGCATGGAAAAATAAGCCAAATAGTTTTTTTCAATCGAATTCTCTCGTGTTCATCAGAATAACAAGGAATCAATAATTTTAAACTGTTGATAAAACAAATTAGTTTATTATTATTTTCGTGATGATGCAAAAAAGTTGGTAATTGATACATCTGTATAGAAGGACTTCTAACGCGAATAATAAAGAATCGTTTTTCTTTGAGTCATAGATGTCCTTACAATATGAAAATATGTACGTATTGAGTAAAATGGTAAGAATGAAAGAAAATCAATCGAAATATCCGTTTTTAATAAACTGTTTATGAAATGGTGCACCGGCTTTTCTTCTTAGTGAACCGTTGTGCTAATCGCTGCATTGGTTCAAGATAATTGTTTCGTATCCAGGACATCTTGTATGTCATGATTTTGTTCACCCGACGAGTTTGCCCAGCAACAACAATCGAACGTGCAGCTACTATCTGGCTGCTTACTTGACTGATTTCATAGAACTCATTCGATGAATTGCCAGAAAGTGCATCACTTTGGAAAAATACTTTGTCATTGAATACGTCCGGACTGAGTGCATAACATAATGCGAACAGCTCCTGTTGTTCATCGGTTGATAAATTGTACCATTTGGAGTAATCAGTAAAGCGACGAATCTCAGGTTCGTTATTACAATCAATCGTTGTACAGACACATTTCAGGTAATACATCAGTTTGGCAATGTCATTGTCGGGTACATTTGCGGTTTGACCTGTTCGTTCAAAGCCAATTTGGTGTCGACCGAAACTAACAGCCATTATGGAATAGATATTGGTGAGAAGGTTGATTGAATTGGCTTCGATAAACAGAGACGAAGACATCAACCTTTTATATCATTGTGTAGTTTGTTGACAAGGAAGTATGATTTGATTACGTTATGACGCCCATCGTCGAATATGTTGGTGAATCTCGAGATTTGTAGTTCTTAAAACACTACCTGAGTGTGCATGTTGGAAATTTTGAAGAAAAAATATGCTACCGAATTCCTCGCTGTTAGTCAAAAATAACATGACGGTGTTGTTCTACTTCCTCGGAAGTTGAAGTTACCTCAAGGAATTATTCGTATCGAGGGATTTTATTCAAAATGACTTTTCTCTGTAATATTGTGTCAGATAGAAGAGCGTGCTGCAAAAAGAATTAGTAGAAAAACTGTCAAACAGGATAATTCATAAGTTTTAGTTCATTTATGAAATTGTACAATCGGCGTCCTGTAAAGCAAGCACTACACGTCGTTCATAATTGAATCGATTTGCTAGACGATTCATTGGATAAATATAGTTTGCTCTCATCCATGACATTTTGTAAGTCATGATGCTTGTTACTCGGCGAGTTCGACCAGCAATAAGAATGGAACCAACCACACCCAATCGATTTTGTACTTGACTGATCTCATAGAAATTGTTGCCTGATGAACCACACATGGCTTCACTTTCGAAAAAAACTTTGTCTTCAAATTTATCTGGACTTAATAACCGACAGAGTTTATAAACAGTTTCATCTTCCGCGTTAGATAAAGCCCAATAATTTTGATATCGCGTGTATCGTAGAATGTCCGCATCGCTACATTCTATAACTGAGCAGACACATTTCAAATAGTACATACACCGCGCTACATCATTATCAGGAACACTAGCTGTGACCCCTGTTTCTCGAATACCATAGTCATTCTTTTGATACATGGCCATGTTTTCGTGCTGATATAGAGTGAAAACATTTGATAACTGGTCTCATTTTATACAGAACTTGTTGTAACTAGGGAAAAATCCAAGTTAACTATTTTGATATTAACATATTTATGGGGTACTTTAAAAAAGCCTATTCATAGAAATCGTATGCATCATTGTATGACATTCTGTTGCAATATCTATTTATTTTACTGTCATTCAAAAAACGTATCGCGCATCATCTGACCCTTAAACACTTCAATTCTTGTTGTATGTTGGAAGGCTCCAACTTCGACGAAAATAGCCTGCTGATAATTCAAACATTATCTAAAACTATTTTTCAGAATCTACATCAATACTCATAAAAAACACAGATAAGCTGCTCAAGGGTTTTATAATGTAAATGAGTGCTGCGTCTTAGTCCATCTATAATTATGAGATTACTATTCGTTCTCTTCTCAATCAATGAAACAATTGAGCCAAACTATTTTCGATACAATCCCCCTTGAATTGAAACTTATACCTCGCCGATCGAAAAGATGAACCGTAATACTCACCGATTCATCGTCTGCTTCTTCCTATTTATTCTTCGTGTTCGCTCAAATGACCTGGTTAACCTTAATGAGAACTTTCTAGCTACATACACTCGCGCTCGCGATCATGTTCTTTCTCAAACAAGTCCACTAATCATTTGTATTAGAGATAATATTATTATCCACCATCGTGGTAAACGGTACAAAGAACGAGTCATACCTAAATTGTATCATGATTTAAAAGCCATCTCCCACATTCCATTTAAAATCTATTTAACAGTTATGTTCGATACTGACGGCTTGTCTGAAGATAATTTCATTGAATTGCAACGTTATTTAGATAATATTCAAACGATTCGAAATACTCTTGAATTTCCACAAGATATTCTACAAAATCAATATGACATCATCGACCTATCGATAAGATACTTGAGGACGATCTTATCGACGAAACTTGTTGATCGAAACCAACTGAAGCAATTTTGCAAAGAAGCACGTCGTTTGTTTGCATTGAACATCGAATTAGCTGCGCAAGCGCATCTAGATTTACTCCATGAAAAAGTTCGAGTTTGGTATTTTGAGCGTTTCAATGAAACAGAGCGTGATACATTGAGAATAACAATTACCGGACCGAAAACCGCAAGACATGGCTTTCTGGAAAAGACGTACTTTTACCATCTAATTGGTGAGAAACATGAAGGGAAACATATTATATACGCTGAAAATGTGAAAACAGAAGAAGAAGCCTTAGAAGTTCTCGGTATATGGATGTTGGATGCTGAAGCTGCGGCAATATTTTTCGAAGGTGATACAGAACGACTACATCGAGATCTACTTTCCGACGCAACAGCGAAATACATCGAAGGATTATTCAAAAAATCAAAAACTGAGTTATAAAATCGTTTTTTTCTCTCTCTACTAATCGAGCGACTGCATGAACCTTATGAGTTTTGATAGTATTTCAATAAATGTGATGTTGATGTTAATCGAATATTTCCTGAAGTTTGTGTTGATAGGGATCATTCAATACGAAACAAGTCACTTTGAACAGATTCTTATTGAAAGAAAAACACAGGGAATAAACATTTTTTCAAATTTATTTCTTCTTTCGACGCATTCGACTAGCTTTTTCTTGTTGTAAACGCTCGTAATCGTTACTATTCGAGTCAGTCAAATCGCCATGATCAATGAATTCTTGTTCATTCCAAACAGTTTCATGGGCACGTAACTTCGGTCGTCGTGCCAATCGTTTTGGTATATGATATTGTTCGAAATCGAAACGCTTCTTATATTCCTCCATGACACGTTCCTCTTCGTTACGTAAATGTGGATATTTTTGTATAACATTCGCAACGATTTCTCGAATACGATTAGTTTCTTGATGCTCTTGATGTTCTTGAAATTCATTGTAACGTCGTTTGAAGATATTTGTCCACGGCTAAAGTATTCGGACTGTATTGATAAACAAAAAATATTTATTAGATACGAACCGCTGCTCTGCGTTTGCCCCATAGCAGTTGGTAGTAACGATTTTTATAGAATGGTAAAATACGCTCCTTTGGTTGATAGTATCGTAGAAGACCGAAACTTGTCTCACTGAAAAACAAACGTTTGACAAGTAGTTTGAATCAATTTCGTTTTTGACTGTTTATACCGAATCTGTGGAGTTGGTTCGCCAGTTCTACCTGTTTCCAGTAGATTATACGCAATGTCGCGCTCGCGAACAACCGTCATTATATTGCGCATACTCTCCTCTACCTAGATTTATGCTGACATTTGCATTATGAAAGCAGCGAATGAAGTTATTTTACTTTATCAATACGTTCTGGATTTGGAAATAGTTCATATTGATAACGATATTCTTCTTCCATCGTTAATAGACGATTTCGTTCCTTGAGAAGCACATACCTAATTAGCAAATATTACATTTATCTCAACTTCATTCGTCCCTTACCAGAGTTTATGTAAATCCCCATTACTTTTCAAACGTAATTCATCCAAATACCACCAACGACCTAAATTTTCATTTATCAACATGAATGTTCAATAGGGAAACTTACCATGAATAACCTTTGCTTCACGCACATTATCACTTGTGTCGAAAAATTCCATGAGATTGCTCTGTTTCGTCGGTGTCACATTCGTGCTGACATCAGCGGCTGGTTCCTCTCTCGGTGGAACATCAGTAGTTTGCCAACGGATTTGTCTAAAATTTCCTAGCCATCCTTTTGCAGGAATAGCGGTAAATTTCTGTGAATGAACTGTCCACTTGATTAATTGGAATAGATTCATTTCATCTAAAACACATTATTCTTTATTTTGGAAAGAACTATTGGAAAAACAAAACAGAAGATTTGTGCAAATAGAGAATAGATTTTTTCTAACAACAAAGGAGATTTGAATTAAAAGAAAAAAACAAAACAGACTAAGTTTTTACAAGTAGAAAAGTTTATTAGCAAGTCGTTCACTGAATTGTTGATGAAGACTTTGGCCAACTAGGAATGCTAATTTGTGTGCATATTGACATACGGCTAGAAATATGAAAATCTCACCAACAAAACCATAATATTGAGAATTGACTTACCTGGTACTCGTATTGTTCCTGGCCAATTATAATACAGATGGCATCTAAAGTGCAAAATTCAAATACAAAAAGTATTTCTGATGGAAACTATCTTACAGTTTAAAGGTTAGTCGCTGCATGTGATCAACTTTAAAGTTCGTTCGATCCCAAATGACGCTAAACAAAAGTTTTAACGTTCATTTCAGCCGATGTGCGAAGACAATCATACTTGTAATGCGTCGGTGCGATTGTACCTTGTCGAGCACACTGAGAGATCAAATAGAAGTCATACCAGTCAGCCTGAAAAGAAACGAAACTTATGAGAGACGAAACCTTTTCGTCCCTATTGCTAAACTTACATTGGTAACGGTATGATCGATGACAGTTCCCGGCGGAGGATTGTGAACATTTCGGCCATCTTGTTGAAAGAACCGTGTATTACCACGTTTTTTCACAACGACAACAGCAAGTTTAGGTTCATAACCTTCGCTTATCTTTGGAAAAGTTTCAATTATTTGTGGTAATTCATGTTCAGCAACCGCTGATAGTTGTCCATCACCAACACCATCTCGATAAATAACAACTAAACCAATTCAAACAAAAAGCTTAACCATTCGTCAGAATCATATCAATGCAACATACTTTTCTCTGGTAAGCAATCATTATTTCGATGATATTCTCTTAAGGCTTCTAAACAGTGTTCAATCATATGCATTTTCATCGAACGTCTGATTTAATTATTTCATTACCAGTCATACATCGAGTTAAACCATCTATTAATTCTTGTGCTGTACGTTGATATACAACTCGAGAATAGAATTTTGTTAATGACGGATTTGTCGACGCTACAAATGCCCCAACGGATGCACCACGACGTTTAGAATCTAAATAAACATGCAAACAACTCAACCTCATCTAGATGAAAATTCATGAAAAAAGAATGTCTTTAATCACATGCATATTTACCATGATATGAATCCATTCCAATAACCATCAGAGTTTTTGTTGGAATATGTACACCCCATATTTCCCCACCTAGTTTCGCATTGATCTGTATACCGATTTTCGTTGCAACTGACACGAGTTGATTGCGGCGTGTAGCTGCAACTGTTTTCGTAAGAACCATCTGAAAATAAGCAAAGTAGAGAATTAAAAGTCGTCGAAAATGAAAAAGAAAACTCCTACTTGGGATGGTATTGGATTATCAAGACAAAGAAATTTCTTCAATGCATCGTAACGGTCTTTTCGACTATTAGTTAAAATACATAATACCAGATCAGTATTTTCTGGTGCAAAGTCTTGTAATGCTTGTAGGTAGTGTTCAGGTCGATCATTTTCTAACTGACGTCTAGAAAGTCTTGTTTTTGATTTAACCATAAAGTTGATCAAATAACTTACAGTATCGGAAATTCTACGTGCATTCCTTTTTGAATACACAAAAAATGTAGATTTAGATAGGAAAAAAATCTTTTAGAGATATATTTACCAAAGGATTGACAAGCTTGATGGAGTGCGTCGATAAGTCTTCGTGCAACTTCTCCTTCTCGTGCTGGAAATACAACTACCCATTGTCTAAGCGGTCTAGCACTAACATGCCGTACATTGCGACAATTACGACTCCAATCTACATATGAAACAATAAACAGAATGAAAATAATTCTTTTTTTCTCATCATACCAACATCGGTGTAATTATATCGAACAACATTCTATGAAAATTTGAAATGAATGCTAACATAGTAGTTATAGTACAGTAGAATTTACTTCACGATATAAGATCTCTTCAGCATCAACTACTCGGGCTTCGAACTTGATTAAATCATTGTCGAGCTTTATATTCCATTTAGATAATTCTTCCTGACAGTCGGGATTTCTAAAATTAAAAAGAAATCATCGAGTTGAATCTCTAGATATATGTAGAATATCAATATTCCGTATTAGTACACAATCGACCTCATATAAAATTCATCTAAAGATGTCATTGCAGTCTGATGAGAATATTCAAAAAAGAAAAACCTTTCCACATCGTACATACTGATCCAAGTCAGTAACAAATTGTCGAAGACGATCGTAACGAGCCACTGCATCGACATGTGTGTAACTCGACAATTCTCTCATAAAATGAAAATCAGATCGCATTACATCACTAATACCTAATTAAAAAAGATCATTTCCATATTGATAAATTTCTCTTTCCTACCGGTAACACAGCATAATTCAGGGATCAGTAGAAACGGAGTTGTAACACCAGCTCGACGATCTTTCTTAGATGGTCTACTGACTAGTAACGGCTGTGTATGATCAATAATATTCAGTTGATATTTCTGTAAGAGAAAAACAAATGTATTCGAGAAGTTAAAATCGATGGACGGTCAATGTACTTCACGATAATATTGTAAAAACGAGTATTCTGTGCCGTCACGCATTGGAAAGGTCTGCATTGGAGAATATTCCCATGCGATTTCGTCAATTTTATATGTTCTTGAATTGTATGTTGTCAAAACAATCTAATGGAAGAAGAAGGTATGCACAAGATTCGCAAGTTGATTTCTTACCTGACCAACTAATTCTTTCGTCGCTGTGTCTTGTGCATATTTGATATCTTGATATTGACTGAATATATCTTGTAGACGTTGGTGGACAGTAGTTTTATTTAAAACCTAACAATGACAATGAAATTTCAAATAAAGAAAAAAAATAAAATAACGAGTGAACCTTATGAGATAAATCGACATTGATCATCAATGAGCCTTCATAAATATTCACATTAGTCAAAAAGCCAGGAAATAACGTTAAATTGTATCGGTCTAAGTCAACTTTACGATCGAATTGATAGTAATTTCGACCGACTAAATTCAAAATTCGAGAAAGAAATTTCATTTAATCAAAGGCAAAAGAACAACGAACTTAATTTCATGCCATTTAATTCGAGAAGCCTAGAAAAATAATCACTTATTCCGTACATGGTTGAAACGATCGTTAACATACTTTCGAACGATAAGATTTGCCATATGAAAAAACACAGGTGAATTAGGCGAGTTTCGTGCTACTTTTCGTACAACAACTCTGACTTCGTCAGGCATTGATGGGTGACGACAAGCAAAGTCTTGTGAATCGCCCAGATCATCGAAAGTGTAGATTGTTGTACCATCGAATGCAACATCTTTGAATAAGGTCTAAAACCAATGAAATCCCATCGTGATGAAATAAGACGAGAAATGTCAAATTCATACACGATGTTGACTGATAATTTCGCGTCGGAAACGTCTGTTTTCTATGTCTGGCGTAAATTCAGTATGGTATTGGAATAATTCCCATTCAGGTTTGGTTAGAACTTTTATATAATTTGCGATGATATTAATCGGATCACCCGATCCACCTTAATAAATACAAGAATATCGATTCTGATCAAACAAGTGATTCTTACCTCGCTTTTCGCCGACCTGTGACCGATTTTCCGATACATTCGAATATGGCATTGATCGACTACTTGATCGACCACTCCTGGCTGTGCCAACATGCATTGCTGCAAAGTCTGTTGTTACACTTTGAACACCAGCACCTCGAGGTGCCCCTGCATCAAATCGTTATTAGCAGATTATTCATCATTGGATCATAATTATCATACCTGGCATGACTTTGGGTGGATTTCCACGACGAGGTTTTTCTGTACGAGATTGCTATATGAGAGAAAAAGAAGCAATCGAGAATTGATTTTTTTTCTGCCAAACCTCTTCGGATGGTGTCTCTTCGAGGCTCGACCGTCGAGCATCACTAATGTCACTTTGTAGTGAAACAAAGGATGCTGTTTCAGATTCGGAATAATCTTTTAAGCCACCTGGTGCATCGGGCTCTTTTGGTTGAGTTGACCGCGCTCGGCCACGTCCTACATTGTAAATCAGCGTGCTCGAAAGAAAATGAGAAGAAATCTGGCATACCTCGTCCTTTACCAATAGAAGACATTATGCGATGATGACTTACGAACAGCGGAATGAGCTACAATACGACAGAGAATATTACGACTCTTCTAATTATTTCCTAATCATGTTCTCAATAATCGAATGCATTGCTCAGCTGTCATGTACCGAGTGATAATTAGACATGTGTTTTCCTTTTTGCATATTTTGTTAAAATAACTGCTTAGTGATTTTTATTTCACATATACTTGGCCGTCAATACTTTACTCAAGGAATGCGGCAGACTTGACCAACGACTAATTAGGATGTTACACGATTTATTTTCTAGTAGTCATTACAATCCGTATCCTACTACAAAAAATAGGTCACGGTGAAAAATACTGAGATTTCACCTTGATTATAATGTAATGTGAGTATCAAATTTTACTGAACGAGATAGTAAACAGACAACAACATGTATTCTGATAAAATTTAATACAAGGTTGAGTCATGATTCTCGCATAATAGGGATTATCTTAGCCGAAACAGCACGCATGAGAAGCATAGAGAAAAAGAAAAGGAAATTTCTAAAAAAAAAACGTGCGAGTACGTTTTGGTTGAAAAGCGACGAACAGAAATTGTTTGTCAATCATTCATGTGCATAGATATATACGTATATTCATGAATGTACGTTTGAATCGTACGGATGACCTCGCTTCATGTAAATTATCTATTGTCTATGCGAGTATCAAAATAGGGAAGAGAACTACTTACATTATCATTGTCATAGCCGTGCGAATAAGTCAAGTATGATCGAGCTTGTTGTTTTTTCTCATTCGTAAAAGAGAAAATGTATGCAAAAGAAAATTCGTGCTATTTAAGGATATCTGACATGCATTTACTAAGACTAAACTTAAACGATTTAGGTCATAGTTACATACTTCTACATGAGTTCATGTTGTTTGAATATACGTAGTTCTAAAATATCATTGTGAAGAGTTCTAGTCAATATGAATTCACATTGAAGGCGGTTATCGTATGGTAGCTAACGGCTTCGTATACGTTGGCCAATACGATGTCTTTTAGTTCGATACACCAATAAAGAGTAACATGGATACCTCATTGTAATAAACTATGATACAGTGGACAGAACAGGTCAAGGTTTCTTAATGGAAATATTCTTACCTTTTTTAATCTACCGTACCGTTTTATTTAGTATTATCTCAAAACATATAACTAAGGTATAATTATGCCATACAAACTGTACAGAACATTCGTATTATTTGTGACTTAATGCATCAATTTACAAAATAACTGAATATATATTTCATTGAATTCTCTCATGTTTGAGTATTAAACATCGAATAGTAAACAAGAAGTGTGATAGAAAACAATGCGCAATTTATTCACTGCTTGACATACCCTATTTTCTATAAACTTATTCAAAGACGAATTGACATGACGTCCAGAGTGTCAACGTATAGTCCTTGTTTGATCAACAGGTAATACTGGTAGGTGACTTATTTAACGCCTAGGTACATTTGCAGAATTTTATCTAATCGACATATTTGCTACGATACGTGTTTATCATGAAAACAATGGTATCTAATCAGATGTGAGAATCAATGCAATTGACTCGATCTGCGTGTTCGCTTTGTCGAATTTTTACCTTATCTTTCGCTCTCATTATTCTATTATACGTAATCATTTCGATGCAAGTGGCGCCCATCATAGGAAGGGATGCGATTTCCAATGTGCAAACAACACAAGATATACTCATGCTAAAAAACATATACAGTTGCTTTCACTGGTTGTTATACGTGCATTGTTCAGTATCTCGTGGAATTGTACAATGAACAGACGAGAGGCAACGGCTTTTGTATATTTCATTTGGTCTTAGCGGAAAAGAGTTAGTTAGTGTTTTGATAAAGATCGTTTCGTTATTTTTTGCTCTGCATGCGTTCGCTTGTGACAAAATTGGGGGCACAATCATTCTAAACAAGACATAGTATAAACATATGGAATAAGAAATTGATCCAATTATTTACGATGTCTGACGAGATACAAGTCAATGAAAATAGATTCATTGACCCGTAAAAAATGCCTGCGAATAAATCGTCTTAAAGCGCAATTTTTCTGTCAATTCGACATAAAAGGAAACATGGTAAAAGACAATGACATCTAGCAAGTTGTGCCTATCGAAATTGAGTACGAAAACACTAATCATTTCCTTTTTTAGTTTCGAAGTTACTTTTTTTCATATTTCCACTAAAAAATGTACATTGTAATGACGCGACGAACAGGAACAAGAAAGAAACGAAAATACAAAAAGAAAACAAAGATATTCATAGAAGAGTTTCTTCACTGTCTTGTAAATAGCATACGAAACGAAAAGAAATTCATTTATATTATTAGAAGAGGGAGAAAGACATGAAATATAAGTTCAAATCGATAGGAATGTATGTGTGAATTTGCACCGAGTTTATGTCAATCAAGAATACATATGTGTGGATGTATCGAATAGAATTATGTCATGAAACTTCGGCATTAAAGCGTCGGTGAATGGAGACAGGTGTTTTCGGTACACCGAAATGTATCGATAGACCAAGTAGGTCGTCGTGGTGTGTTCGAATGAGACACGGCTCAGACTGTGAACGCTGTAGACGTGGGAATACACATTCGAATTTCGATAATGTATCGGTAATCTAAATAAAAAATCCACCCGTAGTATGAGAGAACAACTAGAATGACAAAAGGTCGTACATCTGGAGCGAAATTCGGTCGTTTTTCGCGGTCATATTCTGTACATTGTCGTATAAGGTTAGTGATTGTTGCTGGTGTATCGTCACGACACTGTTCAACTTTTAATTTTAAACGACCTTTCCCTACCAGCCACATTATCTAAATAAAATTCCATATATGTAAATACAAAATTCATAATGAATGCCTAAAGCTTGTCTAACCTGCTCTTTATTACTTAATGGCGTATGTGGCAATTTTCCACTAAACATTTCAAAGAGCACACAGCCATAAGCGTATATATCAGCACCTGGTGAATAACAGTTCGGATCCTTTTGTTGAATAACTTCTGGTGCCTAATGTGAAAAGAAGAGGATTGTTAATATCAAGAAAAGGATTGGATGGAGATGATGTGAGTTTACCATCCAAAGAACTGAACCAGTGGGTTGAAATTGTTGATTAACACCTTCAGCTAGAACAGTTTTGACTGCTGCTAAGCCGAAATCGCCAATTTTCACACGCCAAGAAACGCCAACATCTTCGGTTTCAGCACACATATCCAAAAAGACGTTACTCGATTTGAGATCCCGATGAATAATTCCACGATCATGCAAATATCTAACGACATCAATGAATATGCAATCTATTGAAAACTTTTCCTCAAACTTACGACATTCCTTGACATAGCTGTCGTGCTATATCAATTAATTGCGTGATTTTCCAATGTCGATCCAGTATATGAATATGTTTATAGAGCGTTGAACCCTACATACATATGTCTTCTAACTTCAACGTATTTTTGTTAAATCAAGTTCTTACCTCACACCATTGTGTGACAATTGCAAAACGAGGTGACATCATATACCCTAGGAAGTTCAATGTATTTTGATGTGTGATTTTCCTAAGAACATGAAATAAATGACAGCTGCTTTTCCTGAGCGTTCTATTAAATATACTTGAGAGCAATCACTTCATTTCGAAATGCTTGATATTGACTAGGTGTTGGCGATATAAAATTCAATTCTTTAAGTGCGACTAAACCTAGACGACAAAGAATTCTTTGTCGAAGACAGAGAGATCTTTACAATTCAGCATACCATGTAATCGAACTTCCGCTTTATATACACTACCATATGTGCCACGACCGACCATTCGACCACGGTTGAGCAAGTCTTCAGGTCGAATTTCCCATTCGCTCAGTTTCTATTTGGCAAAAACAAACAAACGAAGTTCGGTGAACTGTTTCGACGAAGAAAAAAATCGATTGCAACATACATGTGACGATTTTTTGACGTCAGAAATTCCATCACTTGATGGTCTCGTTAGGCTGGGTCGAAGATTTTCCGGACTGGTAATAATTGATCCATTGACAGCTGAAATTAAATAAGAGATAAATGAATTATCTTGACAAGAATTCATTGACACGTCCCGCTACATAGGAGAAAAGCGATGATAAATGATATTTTCCATAGAAGTGCTAAGCATGTTATAATGTGTCAAGATAATTGGAAAATATCTTACTCAACAATAATGGAGACGTGCGACGAATGTATAATGATAATGACGACGATGAAGATTCGGATGAAACACTGTGTAAATCCTGACTAATATCTTTTTGCGGATCTGTCAAAAGAATATTAGAATAATCTGATTCATAGCTTCATACGAATATTGACTTAATATGCAAGTCATGGGGAAATAAATAAATCTCCGATATCCCTCATTGAAATCAAAGCCAGAAAAAAAACAAATCGAAACTAATAAAGAAATGTTATCTGATCCACCTACGTCACGTACGCAGAACAACCAATGAAAAGATTAAAAATAGAATGTAGTCAGAGGCAAAGGAACAAAACACGTTCAAATAGAAAGTCAGGCTTTTTACTTACCAACCGCATGATTTGTATTAATGTCAATTCTCTTTAAAGAAAAAAGGAAGAGATGACAAGAATTGAACAATATTTTGAGAGAAAGCAACTCGACATACCGATACTGGAATTCGCGGTAGACTCCGTGATTGTTCTTTAGTTCGAGTTTGTGTTATCGTGCGTTCAACATCCAATCGATTTGGACTACGATGTTGAATATGGCTAAAGAAAACAGATCGTTAAACTACTCTGTGACTTTGAAGAATGAAGCATGTCTTTCTACACAGAACATCAGACAACACGTACTCAATGATCGGTTGCGAACATACTGGTACTTTGATATGACAATGATTGTGATAATGATTCTTACATAGAACACAATGTTTATGACTCTCGTGAATACGATGGTGACAAACAGCACAACGAACACGAACAAAAGAAAAACGAGATGTTGATATCGTTTCCTAGACAGAAAGAGACACAACATAGACAAACATCGAAAGCATATGACGTGTAAGCAAAACATTGAGATATAAAGTACCGAAAAAAGATATCTCCAGATTCGAAACGACATAAATGAGATTTACGAATGCATCGAGCATGTATGCGATGACCGCATACAAGACAACGAAGTCCTTGAAATAACAATTTATGACATGCGTCACAATATGTTAATGTGAAAAATGTTTTGCGAATCTATGACAAAACAAAGAAGTTTTTTCGTTGTCGTTTGTTCTAATCGAATCGATCAACGACTCGACTTTTCTACTTACAAATGAGTGATCAAGTTTCGTTTTCTCTTCAAGTTCGATTTCAGTTTCTAGTACTCGATCGAGTGTTATATCCCATGGACACGGTTGTCTGTAAATAAACAAATCAAATTCAATGCTATTCGCCAGATTAGATATCTATTACCTTGATATCATATAAACAGGTGTATAGGCTCTTAGATTTGTTACCGAATGTCGGAGAGCACGTGATTCAAGTGCAATCTCAAGTGTTTCATCATTACGTGGCGCAAACTAGAAGATAGAGCGAGTGATATTTCGACGAGATTCATTCGTAATTAACTTACGGCTGTTGTATGCTTATTCGGAAAGTGTACACGTATGAAATTACTTGGCGTCATGCTTGGGCTGCGTGATCGTTGACTAAAATAACTTGTCGAATAAGGGAGTACATGTGTTGATATTGGTGGTGTCAAGGGATAATAATGATAAGTTGTTTGTTGATCATTGCTTGGCGTGGAATAATCGTGGATGTAGATATCTTTCGAATTCAGTTGATTAGGTGAGAAAGATATTTTCGATTGTTGAGGAGATTTGTCTAATGGAGAATATTGAGATTGATTCGAATAATGGCTATTTTCCAGTGGGACATCATTGATGGGTGAAGACGACGGAAATACTGGAGAATTGTTTTGATAGTCAACTTCATGAAGGTATTCGGTTAGATTATCACGAGCTTTCGTTAGGATTTCGATTCGATCAGTTAAACGTTGAAATTCCTGGAATAAAGACAGTCGAACTTAGTTTGAGCAAGTTCCTTTTGACTTACCTGCATATAAAATGGTGGTCGGGTTTCTCGGAAGGCTAAATTATAATTATTCACATCTGCCGTCAGATGTTTCAACATTTTCATAAGATCTTCCAGGATCTGTTGACATTTGTGCGGATCCATATCACGTTTACCTTCTTCGACTTTGTCGAAAATCATTCGACGAAAACTATCTTCTTGATTATTTACTGGTGACGCAGAACGAGGCGGTGTCGATGATGTTGATGAACAAGATTTATGATGCAGCGGCTTGTATGCATCCATTGAAACTGTACTGCTATTGCCGCTTGTCATACGATTTGCTTGTAGAACCATAGCCATGTAAAAACGAAAATAAGACGATTATCTCTCGATCACAATTCACAATGTCTAAAGAAGATAGCAACAGATATGTGTGCTCCAAAGAATACTTCAATGACGTTAGGTTTACCTTTATATCGAGATTGTTATTCATGATGTCATTTGAAAACGGAGTATATTTACACATATATATATATCTACGATGAAATTTTGAAAAAGTGGGAAGTTAGTACGACTAAGATTAACTTACACGTATATCTAGGTATGTTATGATAATATTTAAAACCTTTGTTAATATATATATTTTTTTCTTTTTCTTGTGTTGTCTCTCTATCGCGTTTTTCTCTGTCGCTCTTTTTTTTTCTTCTTTTTTTCGTGTTCTCCTTTGTCTCGTTTTATTTTTGAGTGATAGAATATATACGTGTGAAAGAAAATAAAAAGCAAAGAAAAAGACCTAGAATATATGCAGATGTTTAAAATAAATTCCGTGCATATCTTTCAAGTGTTAAGAGACAAAGAAGGGAGAAGAGAGCAAAAAGGAACAAAAGAAGAAGAAAAAAAGAATGGAACACGGAAAAATAGAAAACAGCCGTTCTGATGAAGATCGATGAAGCGAACTTCCTCACGAACTACTGTCGACGTTATTTCCTTCCGTTCTTCTTCCTGAAATATCCGAAAAGGTGTATGATGGGTAATAGTAGTAGTAGATAATAACACCCTCACAACTTTTTATTCCAAAATCTATCTCGTACGAATCGACTTCATTTCTTTTTTCTTATCAGACAAATGAAAACATCGACATGACAATCATACAGCAATAACTCGACATTTTTCAAATAAACATCTAGACATAGACGCTCTAACTGTAATGATGTTTTGTGCGAAAGAAATAGTACTCTGACAAAATGACGAATACTTGTTAGTCATTAATATATTTTCAATAACAAACATACGCTCCTTCTTTTTTCAGTAGTGTATTTATTCAACCTTGCTTTTCGTTCTTTTCTCAAGATCTAATTTCAATTAAGTGAATAACATCTGAATTAGAAAAAGAGAAAGACAGAGTGAGAGAGATAAACAAATATTCACATACGTCTGATCAGTCGGATTGCTACAATTGCATTTTCTAACAAAATAACTAAGCACAATGTCTTTTTCATCGACTGTCGCACAGCCGTTTGTTTTCTCCCGTTTTCCTGAAACAATTAGTAGTAACTTAGTATGTTTCGTTCTTCACAACACGCACGACAACGACAATTTTTCTGTCTTTTTCTTTTTGTTGCTTCATACTCTGTCATTTCTCTTCCTCGCTTTTTTTTTCTTTTTCTCTTCTTCTTCTTCTTCTTCTTAATTGCATAACTCCCTCGCCATCCGGATGACGACAGCTACATGTAGTAAAGAACCTTGAACAGCTCGAGGGTCGAGCAACAGCAACCATCCAGGCCTCTGTGTATTGATGCCGTTGCATACAGAAAAAAAAACACAGAACAGAACAAGAAAGAAAATACGTAGTACGTGGACACTGTTGTTGTTATTTTGCTACTTGATCAAGCTAATGATGCGCGTATTAAAGATAGGGAACCCCTTGGAGAGTACCTGGATGTACAAAGCGGTCGATATTCTTGACATATAGAACGAAAAAGAAAAATCCAGGGAAACAGACGGTTGTCGTGTAATGAAAAAAAACAGCACTGTCTCAGTTTTAATATTTATATTATGTTAACATACTCTTTTCTCCACTCTACTTTCGACATTGTTTCCGTCGGTTGATTGTCGTAGTATAAGATGCGCAAAGACAATGACGAGCAAGCAAGCAAAAAAGAGAAAAAGTCATCATGATATTTCAACGAGAGGAAATAACAACTCGTGTTTCAGTATGAAACAAAAAAATGAGTTTGACAATGAAAAACAACTAACGTTGGTTGGAGTAATGATCATGAAAACAGATACTTTATCGATTGCTTTGATCATTACATTACCAGATATACTTGTATGGGAAATATTATAGATTAGATTAAGCCTTAGTTCAAAAAAAGGAAGATGAAAAACCGAAAGGGAAATCACTCAGTCAATGGGATAATAAGAGATCTGATCATCCATTTGTCTGAGTAAAAAACCAATCTTGGAAAAGGATAGATTAGATGACGCTATCTATGTGTTTCAAATGTTTTTTTCTTCTTTTTCTTAATGGATTAGAAGTTCTGCGCCTCAATAGTCGAGACCCAGCAGCGTACCGAAAGTTTCAAGTACAATCGATGTCTCAAAAGAAAAATCAACAAAATCGAGCTGTTCCCGCATTTTTACAGCTGTAAAACTTGAGTGTTTTCATAGTAAACACTAAACTCATTTACCGTCTTTTTCCGAGAAATAAACCAATATGACCTTCCGCGAAAGGGAAAAGTTATACTCTCTGGTGAGTTGTAAAACTAATTCTTATCATTCATTTTTCAGGTCAGGGTATTCCTAGTAATTATTATTACAGGGAAAAATTTTGTAATTTGAAAGAAAATGTTCCGATAGGTTATGAAGACACCTGTTTGAGAAAAAAAACGAGGGATTTAATAAATCTCTCAAATTTTTAATAGAGGAAGTGACTGACGTCAGTAAGACTGGAAATTGCACTAGATTTTTAATCAAATTACCAATGACAGCTCACTAGATTGCACTTTACATTAATTCTTAACAATCATCAATGACGAAAGAGAAAATGAAAGAACAAAACTGAATCCTCCTCTTAAAGCTAATCTAGTAAACCATCATTATTAGTTTTTCATCGATCAGAAAGGGAAAAATACAATCATACGATAGCCGTATGTCGATTGACGTTAAATGGTTATAGAGATGAAAATTATACACCGAATAATTTCAAACGCAGAAAAAAATATATGATAATGAATACTTATTGAAGCGATGATAAACGACGACTTCGTAATACCCACTCAGAAGCACATTAGTTTCTCTTGAAACTAGGAGAAAATGTACTCACAATTATCAACTAGTCGTGATAAAAAGAATTGAATGTGTGGCAAATGAATCAGAACAGAAAAAAAAGTATTTTTATATTACAAAACTAGTTGTTAACACCAGGTAAAGATTCATTTTCTTCAAATCGTATTCAATGTAAAATTATACGATTTGAAGTTTTATTTCGGTAAATTATCTGACAACCAATACTGGCCCATTCGAATGCAAATGTTGCAAATCTAACTTTCGACTCGTTCGTATTACCTTGATTGACAAGAGATATCAGTTGAATTTTGCATGCAATATGTACCTTTTTTTTATTGACGTTTGTTTGAACGTAATTCGTTTGAGAATGGAAGAATAGACAAATGAAAAGGAAAAAAGAGCAGAAAGAAAAGAAGATCAACAAAAGACGACAAGAAAAAGAAGGAAAACGTTGCTCATCTGCAGAAATGTCTGTTTTGTTCGAATATACGCGTTTTGAATGTTAGTTTATATATAATATAAAATCAATGTAGAAGGTGTGCACACATATACGTATATTATAAAGACAAGAAATCGTGCTATATTGTTATATAATGAGATAGAAAAAAAAAGAAAAGAACGAAACGAAAAAAGATAAATCCAATCGATGACAAATTTTGAATATAAGCACACTATATGATAAATAAAGAAGAATAGAAAGAAGCCACGCAGACCTGAGCAGCTTGATTTTGCTGTTGGGCTTGATATATATGTATATATACACACTCACACAAACATATACAGAAACTCACTCATTGGGGTTTAGTTTAGTCTCGTGCATGTACAAATGAAAAAGAGAAGGAAAGGAAAGATTGATGTGTATAAAAAAAAAGAACACGAACAGAATTGTTTCGTTTGATTTTTTCACAGAATTTCTTCGCTTGAGTCCATGGGTTGAATATCTTGTAGAGAACTTTGCGATTGCATTTGACTGTTGTCGTCATCCGTTACTGAAGAGGCCATGTCTTCCATGCCGAGAAGGAGATCTTCGTCTTTCGAATAAAATTTATCGGCATTCTCTTTCAGTTGATTATTGGCACCTGGAAAGAGAACGTTTGCGAATTGAAAGTACAAAAACAAAAATCAACAATCAAGGTTGAATTACCTTTCGGATCGAGGTCCATACTCCATGACATGTACATGTAGGAATAATGAAAATTTTTCAAATGTCGATGAACCTGAAGGAAATTCAATGTTTGATTGCGAATCTTTCGAGTTGAATTCGACTTACTTTACTAAGTAGATAATAAACAAGCGATTCTTTCGGTGCGATTTGTCTTAATTCTTCGAGTTCTGCCAATGCTTCTTGATATCGTTCAAGATGTAATAATAGGCCAGCTCTAAAAGTCAAATACAATATTGTACAGATTGTTTTCGTTCTTCAATTGACTTACTTATGAAATTTACATAGAGCATTTTTCGAATCAATTATCAATGCATCGTTCAGTAATGTTAGTGCACTTTCCGATCGACCACATTTGTGTTGAGCCTACGTGAGCGAATAAGAGCATAATTAGAATGAGAATATGTCTTTCTTATTTCTCTGTCCTACCACTGCTAAATGACAGATAAGATCAGGATTCGTCCGGAAGATGCTTGTTGCTTTTGTAAAATGAAATTCAGCTGATTGAAATTTTTCTTGTTTTAAATAAACCATCGCCACACCATTCCTACAGCAAACCAAAACCATCGACATTTCCTAACAAAACGATTGTTCGACTTACCAAGCTTTGTAACTCCGTGAATTTAATTGAATCGCCTTTCGAAAACATGCCATAGCACGTTCCAGTTCATCGATAAGTGAATATTCATTGCCCAGCAGTGTATATGCATAATCCGACTCAGGCGCTAGTTGTATGGCACGTTTAAATGCTTGAATAGCTTTGTCGTATTCATGATTCAAACTAAGACAATTGCCAGATGCACACCAACTCTATTTAACGGGAAAAAAAACGAAATCTCGGTTCAGTCATAGTTTGATTTTCGAGGTACAATAAAGAAAAAGAAATTTGATCCATTTTATATAAACAACGGAACAGTTGATTAGATATCTAAACATTTTTTTTTCTCTCTATTTTAAAGTAACGAAACATGATCTTTTCTTCTCGATCAAGCGTAGGTTAAAATAAGAGAAACCATTGATTCATTTACAACATTCACTTACTTGATTTTATCCCATTTGCGAACAAGTCATGTCGAGTACAAAAGGTTATGATGAAATTTTGTCAACAACTACTGCAGATCTCGATACAAATGATAAAGATACTGCTCAAAATAGCAACGATTTAACTGCCTATCTCTTAGTAGTGTTTCCATTCTATACTCTCGCACTTCTGTTCAATTTTCTGACGATCTATTCGATTCTCATCGGTAAAATCTATCGCCAATATCTATCGAACGTCGTCCTGGCTGTGATTTGTATTGGTGCACTTTTAAATGTTGACGGTCATATGTATTTAATTCTCTTACGATGGACAACTAGTTCGACGTCAGATCAACTTTGTTCATCGTCGATTTATCTTCGCGATAGTGGATCAATTCTTATTTATACACATATTTTTATCTTAGCTCTCGAACGCATTCTCGCTAATTTGAAAAAACAACCGAGAAGCATTCACAATCCATTACTACAAAAAGCGCACCTCTTTCTGATTCTAGTGTCATTTATATCGATGATATTGGCTTTTACGGTTCCAATTTACACATTTACACATTCAAATTTTTCCGAAAGCTATGGTCTATGTATTCCAGTCGATGACAAGGCTTATAAGATGTACATCAATTGGATCTATTTCGGTTTTGGTCATCCATTTGTTTGGTTATCGTGTATCTTACTTGGAATATTTCTCTGGCGAAACTCAGCTAAAAGTTATTCTACATTAATTCCTATGAATCGAATAATTCTGATTATTAATGTATTCAGCTGTGTGAATCTTTTGATACGAACGTTATTTGACGATCTAATTGGTGTTGCAGGTAAACGCTCATCGAATGACGATGTGCCACTTTCAAGCAAAATCATCTATACAATGAATTTACGTGATTTTATTTCGATTTTTGTTAACTTATTGATTGGTTTAGTGTTTTTCGTTTTCCGGCCAGAAATTCGTGCATGGTTATACGAATCCATGAAACGATTTCAAGGTAACGTCAATGTGACTGTCACACCACAGAGGTTAGATATTCGTAATGAATTAGATGATAATTTTCCCGAAACAGACGATGGAAATCTACATTTCCGATCAGATGCATAAAGAATTAGATCGTTCATTTCTTTTATCTTTATGTTCTTCTTTCATCTTAGAGAAATAAATAAATTCTACTTACAGCTGGATGTTTACGATCGGTTTCGGTTAATTCATGTGCTAATGTCGCCAATGCAATATCGTCTTTCAAATGCCATAGAACTGTACTATAATATTCTAGTCCATCGATGTGATATGGATACTTTGTACGTAATTCTCGATAGATCAACGCAGACTTCTGGTAATCATGTAAATGGTAATAACAGTTAGCTAAATGGGACAGAACCCATGGTGTGTCGAGGTGTTTCAGGGATATCGATTCAAATAATTCGATTGCTTGTCGACATTCAAATTGAGATAGATGTTGAAGACCTTGACCAAGTAATTTGAATACGTTGATAATATTTTCAACAATTTCTAAATAGAATACAAAAGAAAAGTTGGAGGTTTTTCTACGAAACTGACATTACCTGGCGTACGTTGATGTTGACTTGATTGACTTTTTCTCTGTCGATCGCGTTTACCAATAAATTCACTATCGATGGCACAGTTCAAACTTGAATTATTGGATCGCACCTGAGATCTAGTTGTCATTTTGTTTGGCGATTCAGCTGGAGTTGCCGGTGTGGTTATACTCATATCTGCACATGGTGGACGACTGGTAGTTTTTGTTAAACGTGTTGTACGTTTCGTTGGCGCGCGAGTGGATTTGTTTTCCTAGTAGAACAATCATAGATACAATCGCATTCTTCGCCGCCATTGCACCCAAACTCACCTTTCGTGTGCCAATCGTTTTTCGAGTATCACTTAGTGAGGTCGAGGCCAGTTCATGTCTATGTATAAGTGTCGCCGTCGATCCGGATGCGGCAGTATCATCGAATCCGTACTGTTGTCTATAACAATAGAAACAAAATCTTTTCAAGAAATCCACACATTCAGTCTCTAACATACACATTTCGCGTGTTCTGCCTTTTGGGTGCTAACGGTGGATTGCGTAAGGAAGGAATGTAATCTGGCGGTTTAATAGTTGGCGGAGTATATTTATCGTTATCTTGTAGTTGTTCAGCAAGTAAAGCGATGGGTGTTGACGTAATCAGAGCGGAAATATTTGCTGAGCCAACATTGAGTATAGAATCAGTTAGTTTCATTACGGTTGCTGGTGCCTGCAATATACGTGGATGTTGCCGTTCTTTGATTGCTTGATTTGTACTTGTATTCATCGACTAAAATGTACGAGATTTTGAAAATAGTTCAAAGAATCACATCTAGAAATTGAAAGCTCACATTATCGATAGCTTGATTTTCACTTTGAATATCTTTTATTTGTTCAGTATAGGGTGTCACACATATTTGTGGTTGATTGGCTTCTGAGATTGTTCGATTGGATTTTATAGCTGAGGAGCAAAATATGCTTGAATCAACGCGTTCGCCTAAAATTCAATCGGTTCAATTGAAAATAACGCAAATACAATGTTCGACTCACCCAAACGACAAAGAGCTTCAAAAGACGACCACAGAAACGGATTGAGTTTCAAAGATTTTCGATAACATTCGCTTGCCTTTTGATGACGATCAGATTTTCTAAATATCACTCTTCTCCTTGTGAATCAAAAGCGAACCTTCGAAAACTTACTCGCAAACTTTTGCAAGTAATTGCAACGCAAAAGCTGCTTGATCATTATGATCAATGACGAAGTCATCTAGTGCTAGTGTATTTATCGATGAGCAATTTCCAATTAGTACTGATTCAGCTTCATGCAATCTGAAATTCTCTATGGAATACAATCAGTTCTAGAACAAGTAGTGCTACGTACTTATCTGTATCGAAGCAACATTTTGCTAAAAGCAGTTTGGCGACTGGCAAGTGTTCTATTGAAGAATTCCGCAATAGCCAATAAGATTTATTCACATCACCACTCAAATAATAAGTACGTGCTAATAAATAAGTCGATTCATCGTTTTTTACTAGAAGAAAATTCGTTCGATTGAACACGAGAAAAGCTTAGAAGATGGTCAGTTACCTTCAGCGTATAAACGTTCAGCAAGAAAGACAGCATCGACATAGTCGAAATTATGAATAAATTGGTTTATATAAACCTTAATGGAATCGATTGCTACGGACATTAAATTGTTCGGAACAGGAGAGAGAGAGAGAGAGTGGAGAGATGAATATTTAGCTTGGTCTAATTGCGGAATCAAATGATAATTAATCGAAACATTGATAATAAAGATCAAATGGTTTCTAAAACGAAATGTAAAAGTAAATCACAGTCATATTGAAAGCAAAGTCAACTGTTCACAAGCAAATACAGACAAAATCATCGGTATTTTAGAATAAAACAAAATAAGCAACATTGCACACTCAGAAAAATCAATCTGTTGACAATTCAATTGCGAGACAAAACAATTCTGACTAGAAGCGAAAGAACGACTAGAATCCTTCTACGGATTTTCACGTTTCTGTGTATTCAATAAATGACGACGTTGACGTTCGGTTGATAAACGATCACACGCTTGTTGAATATTCATAAATATACTTTCAGCGTTTTGCTTTTCTTTTGGGTCCTATAAATAAACATCATTCAGTTATGTGATTAATTTCCTCGGAAAGAAATATTTACTCGATGTCTATCAGGATGCCATTGACGTGATAATGCTCGGCATTGAGATTCGATTTGTTTTTGAGAAGCGCCATACTGCAAATTTAACGTCTAAAAACCAGAATGCATAAACATATTTATGTCACCCATCGACTTCTCATGGTTCGATATAAATGCAATAAGAAGAGTAGCTCTCCGAAGTATTCTCCTTTCTTCAGTTTAACGATCAGAGGGAAACTCATTCGGTTAGAACAAGGAAGCCATGCATCATATATTACTTCGTATGCTTGCTTTTCACTTTCAGAATCAAGTACCATCCATAGCTTTGTCCATATGCCTTTTAAGCCATGTCTTAGATAAAATGTCCATAATTGTCGAAGAATATTGAGTATTTGTTGATACAATAGTAGGAATTCTTGTGATTTGAAAAATTCGCTTAGAACATCTTTTACTTTCACCCGACGACCTTTGATGTCAACTTGCAGATTTTGATAGACGGCCGAGGTGAAGACGGTGCCGAAGATCATAATGCCAAGGCCGAATACGAGACAGCGTTGAACAAAATGACGACGTTTCCGTTTGGGTGGTATTGAGCATTGAGATTCTTTGTTGATGATTAATTTCGAAAAATACGTCGGATTCCATTCAACCTGCCATTCGAAGAATATCGAACAAAGAAATGCTGAGAGATTAAATGACGGCGACGATGATTCATTGCGACTGACGATTAAGGGTAATCCAAATAAAGCACCTAGCAATGGCCATAGGAATGAACATTGCCGTGGCCCCAGCGTGCCGACCATTTGAGTTCCTACGATAATCAAAAGCTAATGATAGATTCCAACGATATTATCTTACCGACAGCAATAGCCAATACGGTACAAATGCCAGCAAGCAATGCTAAAAGCGGTTGTTTATGCCAGTTATCAGGAAAAGCATAGTAAGTAATAAAACCGTAGAAAATCGACGTGATGAGTTGACCTTAAAATAACAATAGAATAAAACGCTTTCCATATCAATTATGTATCTATCCTCGACCGCATTGAAACAATCAGAAAGAAAATATTTCAATGTTTCGCTAACAGACTATCTACATCGTTTAATTTCGACTATCTTCTTGCGAATGTTCCAATCATTCAAAATATCGAACTTCAATATGAATGATTTGGTTATAGTCATAGATGTACTTTACAGTCTCATTTCAACTGATTGTGAACTTTCTATACTTACCACAAAATCGACGGATTTCAAACGATGGTGATTTTCTTTGTAGCATTTTCAATTTATAATGATTGAGTACATGTTGATCTTCATTTGCCTCTTGAACATATTTATAGATTGAAAAGAAGAATTCATAAAGAAAACCAAGTCCGAATCCTCCGAATGTTGTACACCACAAAATTGCATGTTGAGTACGACCCAAATAAAGATGGTGCAGACCAAAAACACCCGCAGTTAAAGAAAATAAATATGTTAATATCAGACTTTTTCTATCAGTCATCAAGTATCACAGATGAAAATTCTCGAACAGTGGAAAAATCAGTCGAAAAATCCAAGGTGAGAATTCTAACTCGACTTTATTTCTCTCGAGAGACAAGGAAAGAGTATATTTGGACTAAAAGAGTCGAATGGCGCTAGAGTCAATGTGTTCTACACCATCGACAGTGGCGATTTTCTTCACAATATGATCCATTTTTTGAACACTTACGACATCTGACAATGTCGTCAAGTTTTAATGCAATGAAACTAGATTTTAGTAGATGTCATACACAGAGAGAACTGAATGAACAGCTGCATAACGTTGAGCAAGGAGTTGAATATGAATCTAGTTAACAACCAAGTACCATTACTAATCAGGCGAGGAGAAAAGATCTGTTTAATAAGTTTTTCGTCATTTCCTATTGGCGCAGGAAATGCGAGCATTGTCTCATTTCCGACTACAGATTAAAAAAGTTTTCAAATCGAACGTTGTGAATTTATCATTTGCCTATATTCGATCGCGAACGACTGAATCAGCGCGAACTTCTCAGTTGCATATATTTTGCCAAATAGCCCTTTGGTGTAATGTGCTCAGCTTGAAATTGATCGTCAAGGATTCCGTACACTTTGCTTATAAAAATAATCACAATCCGTTTTTTCTTTCTTTACGATTCAAATATTGTCCAACTGTTGCATATTACATCTGCTCATATTGAAAATACTTTCAATCAAAACGAAAATTAAAAGCAAACATGTTCACATTCCTCCTTGCTTTTCGCTCTATCTCGTTTCGTTAAATCATCATTTGAAAGAAAACGTGTTTTA